ACGACAGCAGATCCTATCGCGCGCACAATGCAGATTAAGGGCATGTATAAGCTATTTCACAAAAAGCTAAGTATGATGGTGAAGAAGGTCGATGCTTGAAGGACTTCCTCAACGTTGATGTGAGAAACGGATACGAGTCTGCGCAGCGACCTAGTCAAATATGGTAAAGCACATTCAAACACCATATGAGGAGATACAAACTCGCCAAAAGTCAAGCAAAGAAATCCAAAATTTAGAGATTAATCACTCTGATGTGTTGGACCTATATAAGACAAAAAACATCAATTGGCGGAATATTGCGGGATAATTATGGTGACGTTCATTGACATTTCTCTAGATTGTTTTTAAAATGCGATCAATTGGCGGAATGCGGTATATGGTGACGTTCATTGACGATTTCTCTAGATATGTATGGGTTTTCTTCATGAAAGACAAATCTGAAGCATTCTCAAAGTTCAAAGAGTTCAAAGAGATAATTGAAGGAGAAGTGGAGCAAAAGATTCGTTGCTTGCGCACAGACAATCGGGGAGAATATAGCTCAGGAGAGTTCTCTCAATTTCTACGGGCATGTCAAATACGTCATCAGTACACTTGTGCCAACACGCCACAACAAAATGGTGTAGCTGAGAGAAAGAACCGGCATCTTGCAGAAATTTGCCGAAGCATGTTACATGCGAAAAACGTACCTGGAAGACTTTGGGCCGAAGCTATGAGAACTGCAGCTCAGCTCATGTCATCATAAAACTTCCCTCAACAAAGGTTGGATTGTTTCACCCTTTTGAGAATTGTGGAAAAAGAAACCTACAGATAGCTACCTTCGAGTTATTTGGCTGGTATGCTATGTATTTGTCCTGGACATCTACGTAGCAAAGAAATCGATAAAAGATAAGCGAATCAGATGTATCTTTGTTGGATTCTAGAAATAACCAGAGCAAAAGGGGTAACCCAATGTATGTGATCAACAACAAGTGTAAGGGTGCTACACTATCCGAGATGGGTGTTCGATGGAAGCATTCCTCATGGTGGCCTCAGAAAAGGGCAGTATCGCCAGACTCAAAAAAGAATCTTCAAGACAAGCATGCAAAATAGACATATGGGGAGAGCATACTGTCCAAAATTCAAACCTCCAAAGTCAAGAAAAAGTTGAAGATCAACATGGAAGAATGATTGGATGAACAAACAGTAAGCCAGATCCTTGGCAAACTGGGTATATCAACAAACCAGATGGAAAGAAGTATTGGGTCCAGTGAACCGGTAAGATCAACTCCACAATCTCAACTTAACAACGAAGATCAACAAGAACTAGACAAGCCAAATCCCAATAATACGCCAAATCCTGCCCAGCAAAATAAATAATTAAAGAAAAGAAGCAGATGTAACAGGAACCTGAACTGTGAAGAAGCATCGCAGAGTCAGAATGGATTGGACAGCTATGAAAGAAGAAATATATTCTCCGCACTTGAGCATAATCAAACTTGGGAAACCTACTATACCAAAGCCAAGAGATGTGGAAAACCCATATCCTTGTAAGTGGGTCTTTACAAGATAAAGCGTCTGTCCAAAACTCAGATGGGTCCAATCGAGAGGATACAGCTAACCGAAATTGCAAATAGCGCGTGGTTTTCTTCTCAACACACTGGATGGAACAAATAGAACTTATGATGAAACGTTTATTGTCCAGTGAGTAGAAACTTTACAACAGTAGAGTTCCTTACTGTGCACTGGCGAAACCATACAAAGATTGGAGTATATGGCAAGAATAACCTCGTTAAAAATAAGCATTTTCTTCATGGAAGCTAAGGTCGTGGAAGATCGTATATGGTTCAACCAATGGTTTTCAGATGTCAAGATCATCCATTGAATATCGTGTCGTAAGCTACAGAACAAGCAAACTTCTATGGATTAAAAAGCTCCCAGGCTAGGTATGCAAGAGAATAAAGACCTCTGGCTGAATTTCATAATTCGAAAGTGAGCTTATTCCAAAAAGTAACAACCTGCAGATCTCTAGCTATATATTGTCAAGCCAAGGAGAGAAAACTAAAGAACTATCATACTAAAGTGTATATGTGGCCATGATAAATTGATCATAACTGGTGTATGATTTGAGGCAGCACGTAATTTCAGACAAAGGAAATTATAAATACAGTCCGTATAACCTAAAATGAAGGGAAACTTGGACAAATCTCAAAGCAACTTCCTTGGTCTAGAGATAGATTCAAGACTTTCAACAAGAAGGGATATTTCTTTTTGTCAGCAAAAAATATTCCAAAGATTTATTTGAAAGAGGTTGGAATGGCTCGAGTTTGCAAGCCAACTTAGAGTGCAAGCCAATTTCGACGCCGATGGAACCAAATGCCAAAATGTGTACACATGAAGGAAAAGATTTGGAAGATGCGACGATGTATCGACAATTGGTAGGTAGTTTGATCTACTTAACCCTGACTCGACCTGACATTTCTTATGCAGTTGGCGTAATGAGTCGATACATGCAAAATCCAAAGAAGCATCATTTGGAAGTAGTTCGACGAATACTAAGATATGTGAAGAGTACAATTGACTACGGTCTTTTGTACAAGAAAGGTAAAGATTGCAAACTAGTTGGTTACTGTGATGCTGACTATGCATGGGCGGGAGATCATGAATACCAGGAGATCAACAACTAGGTATTTTGTTTAAGCTTGGTTCTGGGAAGATTTCTTGGTGTAGTAAGAGCAGGCCGACGTATCATATGTCAGACAAGAAGCTGAGTATGCGGAGCAGCAGCAGCTGGGCACTTCAAAGAAAGCCACTGGCTGTACAACTGATGAATGAATATTACCACAACCAGTAGATTTATGCAGTTCCGTTAGTACTGTGAAACCAATCAGCAAATTCGTCTAGCGAAAATCCAGTTATTTCAATGCTAGAACTAAACATGTGGAAGTACATTATGCACTGTTAAGAGAGAAAGTCTGCAAGAAAGAAATTGAGATGAGGCAAGTCAAAACGATCAGCAAATTGGCGGACATTGCTATACAAAAAGCTTAGAATGTTGGAAGTTTTGAACATTTCGCTGTCAACTTGAACGTAATTCAAAGAATGGGGGCCTAACATTGAAGGGAGAGTGTATAAAAGATCAATATTAGCCAATTGTTGAAATTCAAAGTTAGGTCCCAAAGTTAGGACACCAAATTAAATTCTGATTGTTGAAATTCAAAGTTAGGTCAAAGTTAGGACACCAAATTAATTTGATGTCATTGCCTACATCATTTTAGTTAGGTGAAAATTAGGTAGTATTTCTTTAATCTCAATGGTCTAGATTAGTTTGTGTTTATTTTAATGAATGGTGTAGATTGATTCTTGTAATCTATAAATACCCCCCTTGTATTTGAGTTTTATTATCCAAGGATCAAAGCTTAAATAAAAGCGTTTTGAAAGCTTTCTTAAGTGTTCTTCTTCTTTGCAATTTTGTTAGATAGTTCTTAAGAGTGTTTTTCTTCTTCTTGATAAATTAGAGTTTTATTATTCTAATTTATTCAACACCAAATAGACATTTAGCTACATCATACCAAATACATCATAGGAGTATAGGCTGAATATAGGAATATAGTATTTTGAGAGGTGTTTATTTTCTAAGAAATGAAATGGTTCAAGTACAATTGATTGCTGATAAAGAATGAAATGGAAGTTTGAATGATTTTTAGCCTTCACTCGTATGAGTTAAGGATATGATATATTACCAGGGTAAAAGCCTTGATGTTTTTCTTTAGTCAATTTCATTATCTGAAGTAAACTATCAGGCAAATCTTTCATTCGATATCTCCTTCACTTGTTTCCTTCTTTATCTTCCTTGTATCTCTTGCTCTGCTTTGTATGATCCTCTGCATCATGGTGCCAAAATGCAGTTTCAACTTCCTCAAGCTTTCTTCCAAATCCAAGTTCTTACAAAACCAAATATAGTCTTATAAGCCTTATTGGAACACCTTTCTCTCATAGTCATTCTTGACAAGATTCTTTCTATGCTATAAGACACTAGATGATAAAATTATTAGCCTATAGCCCTAAAATAAATTTATACCGCAATTTGCCCTTTAGGACTAATAATAATCAATAATGTCATGTCTAATTATTAATTGAAATACGAAAATTATGTCATACACCAACTTAAAATTAATGCATAACGAATGTTTGGCAGTATTTTTTTATTTGCGCGGGTGCCTACATGCTCAGGTAACCTTCCAATAGTATAAACTCCATATGTTACATAAAATTTTAAGTTGCCTCTTTCTCTATATCTTATTGTCTTAATTATCATTATCATCAAAAGATTAATCAAGTAAAAAGCATGTAGTTTGTTGCTATGAAAGGCTAGTAGTTCAAAATTTATCAAGAAACAAACAAAATCTTAAGCAATCAACCTATTGTATTCTGAAGTTTTAAATTAAAAAGGAGAAACAAGTTGGAGTAATTTAATTACTTTTATTCCTTCTTAATTGCTCCCCAATCAATTCTTTCCCTTATTGCTATTTTAACCCTAACAATTAATATTCACGTGCTGATTGTGTGGGTTTGTACTTTGCGATGATTCCCTTCTCATAGTGGTTAGCACTTTGGACTTCGAATCCAGCAATCTGGGTTCGTTTCAGGTGGGTTCTTTATTCTAATTTCTTCCTTTTTTTTTTTTTTTGCATGCTTTATAAGTAGATTTATATTTTCACTTATAAATAACACATTGTCCATGAAAATAATATCTAATTTCCTTTTTTTATTAGCAATAAAAACTTGATATTCATAATCAATTACAAGAATGTGCCCTGGTGAGTCTATTTGGCTCAGGTGTAGTTGTCTTGAGCTCAAGTTGTTTTCCTCTTCACTATTAATAAAGTTCTCGGCTTATAAAAAAAATAATGATAATAATTCGATATTCATAAGCAATTAAAAGGTTTTAATTAGATTTAATTAATGAAAAAGTTTATAAAATACAGAAACAGATCACATTGTGTGGCTAGTCCAATTATTTATCTAGAAAGGATTAAAATGTGTGATTGGGTAACATAATAGAGAAGGAGCCATAGCTCCTGAATAGCCTGTAGAAACATTTATATCAATCTTTTCCCCATCCTTAACTTTCCAATCAAAGCATTGAACCAAAGCTCCAATGGTTGCGTACAAAAGTGTATAAGCGTAAGCTGAACCAGGGCACATTCTCCTTCCTCCTCCATATGGAAGATAACTAAAATTATGCCTTTTCATTTCCATCTCAAATTGGTCAAACTCTCCTGTTGACTTCACCAAAAACCTTTCAGGCTTGTACTTATCAGGATCGTGCCACGTCTCAGGATCTCTCATTATAGCATAGGCATTGATCAAAAGTTTAGTCTTTGACTCTATATCATAGCCGTTGATCTTGCAAGCCTTGGTGCTTTCTCTAAATATGATTGGTGATGGAGTGTGTAGCCTTAGGGATTCTTTAACTATGGCTTGTAAGTAGGGAAGGTTTGGGACGTCTGATTCGTTGACTAGTCTCTTGTTTGCACTCTCAGTTGACTCCATCTCATCTCTTAGCTTCTTGAAAACCTTTGGATGGTTTATTAACTCTGCCATGGCCCATTGTATTGCTGCTGACTCAGTGTCAATGCTTGCCATAAATAGCTCCTGTAGGTTAATTTTTAAAAAAATTTTCTAAAGTAACACTTGAAATAGAACAGGAGAAGTAACTATTTATCAGAACGAAATGAAAATTTCTAAATTAACACTTGAAATTTATCAGAGGAAATATATGCTTACCAGAATGAAATGCTTGATTTGACATCTTGTTAACTTCACTTCAGCATTTATATCCCTGTAAGTCATCAACAAAATATCCATTACATCTTTCTCTTCATCTTCTCCAATATTCCCTAAATGTTCTTCATATTCCTTCATAATCTCCTCAATTACCTTATCATACTCCCAAAGTGCCTCTTTAAGCTTTCTTCCATGTCCAAAAATATCAATTTTCTTCAGAACTCCAAACACTTCGTTACCACTTAACTTGGCTCCGCTGTCCATAATTTCGGTAACCAACTTTCTCATCTTCTTAGCTTCACCATCACCATTAATATTCTTGAATTTCTTGCCCATTGTCATTTTACATATTATATTATTAGTAAAATTCTCTAATTCCACATTCAAATCGCAGGGATTTCCTTCAATGGCCGATTCATTTATCGATTTTAAGAGATTTATCGTCTCTTGCTCTCTTATATCTTTGAACCGATCAAATTGAGCTCCAGCGAAAAGCTCGGTAATGCAGAGCTTTCTCATGAACTTCCAATATGCACCGTATGGACCTGTAATGAATCCAGTTCCTTTATATATATTGTAATCCGTTGGACCCATTTCAAACCTGGAAGAAAAAGTAAGGTCATGGGTCTTGAAGATTTCTTTAGCAATGGCTGCACTTGAAGCAACAACAAAAGTTGAAAAGCCAATACGTAACTGCATAAGAGGGCCATAGCGGCGGGCTAGCGTTTGGAAAGAATTTGGAAATGCAGTGCCGAGGAGATGTAGGTGGCCGAGAATGGGTAGAGCCGGCGGGCTTGGCGGTGGTCGGACTTTGTCGTTACGGTTTGTGTGTTTTTTAATGAGAAAACAAAGTAAAAATGTGGAAAGTAGGGGAAAGAGGAAGAGGAAGGCGTAATAGTAAATGGACATGGCAATGAAAGGCATAGGTAGAAGGGAGATTTTTCTGTTCTGGAGAAGTATATTGAAGATGGACTTATATAGTAATTAATCTATGCTTGGAAATTTGCATGCAAGTTCATTTTGATTTTTTTTTTTTTTTTTACATGGCAATCGAAAGGCATAGGATAGAAGGGAGATTTTCTGTTCTGGAGAAGTATCGTGAGAAGATGGATCATTATAATAGTAATAACATAATGGCTTGGAAATTTGAATGCAAGTCATTTCTGATTTTTTATTTTATTTTTTTTTAGAAGCATGTTGTTTTTTTTTTTTTTTTTTTTTTTAGAAGCATGTTGAAATTAATTAATCATAGGGCCATGTGAAAGTTGAGATATAAAACTGGTTATTCTTTGTGTAATAATTTTGAAACAACTTGACCAATAAGATATTTAGTTGGAATGGAGAATACAAATTCCATTCTCAAGAAATACATTTTTTTCCAAAGGTTGAAGAAATTTTACATTTTAAAATCCCAGATTATTGTACTAAAAAAAATGAAAGAAGTTGAAAAATGAGATGGAGTACTGAAATTGGATTAAGGTATTGACTAGGAAGACTCCCCAGGGATCTAGGGCCTGGAGTTGCGGCTCAAAGACAGTACAAATAATGCTTTGGGTTGGCTAATAATGTTCATGCCCAAAGGTTAAGGAGCCATTGATGCAAGAGCTGCCGGGGTGGCACATTTAAATCTTGCAATTTTGAGTTATTGGGAAATTATTGATTATAATATGCCCCAAATGCAGTGAATAATCTGCCCAATAAAATAGGCTTTGACTGTTATAAGTCTTTACTTATATGACAAGCTATTTAATGGCTAGTGTTAAATTTATTCTTACACAAGATCGTGCTCATAACATCTTCACCTAATAAAACATTATCATATTGAGTTAATTTAGGTACATTCAATTTGGTTGTCCTATGCCCACAATTCTCTCTTGATTTATTGATAAATCAACGTGTGTCTTTAATCACTTAAATGATATCACAAGTTGAATCTTTACATGTACATATTTATATATGTGGAAACAATGCATATTTGATTTTAAAACTATTTTATCACTTAATCTAACTCGGCGTATGAAAATTAATTAAATTTTGTAAACTATTAAATGGATATATATCGAAATATCTGGTAGATAAATTGATCATAAGAAAAGATTAATTAGGTTTGACAGCTAAATAAATACGGACTTGCGAGAGTATAAATACCTCATGGATAAGTTTCAAAACAAAAATAATTAGCTGGATAATAACTTCCCAAACATATCAGGAGGATCCGTTTTACATTGTGAAGTGTAGTGAGGATGGGAGACATTAGTACTCTTGTCAAGTTGAAAAAGAGATTTAAATAATGTGCAAGTTCAATGAACACATACTCAGTAAAATTCATCAACCTCCCTTCGTCTCCAAGCGAAAAAAACTCATCAACATTGGCAAATTAATCAATTAATATAGTCAAAACTTCTTGAAATTATATGCTTATACACAGAGTTAATACTAATTAACTATTATTTATTTAATTTTTATACAGCACGAGTTAATACTAATTAACTATTATTTATTTAATTTTTAATAGAATATATAATATTAATATATAAGGTATATATATAATATAAGAGAAAAAAAAGAAATCAAGCAAATTTAATGCAAAGATAAATTTAACATTTGTCTTCGAATCTCACAAACTCTTCAATCATTCATACACATTCCTTCAACAACACAGACTAAACACTAGCAATTTAGCCGTTTGCTTATCCACATTTTTATACACTAATTGATTCTATCATAGATAAAGTCTCAGCTTTTGGTTGGGGACAGGACGCAACTCATATATTCAAGAAACTTTTAATAGGGTAGCAACATCAGTGGTTTGGCCCATTTCCAGCACGAATCCAAGACCCAAGTGCTTCAATCAACCTAATCTGACATCTTCACCTTTCCCAGTTCAAAACACTGAACAGTGCTCAGTGCTCCAACAGCTGCATGCATAACTAACATAGCAAGTGAAGCACCAGGACACCCTCTTCTTCCACTCCCAAATGGAAGATACCTAAAATTCTGTCCTTTAAATTCCATTTGATGCTCTCCAATTTTCTCTTTTGAACTTTCCATGAATCTTTCAGGCAAGAATTCACCTGGGTTTGCCCAAGAATCTTTGTCTCTCATTACTGCAAAGACATTCACAAGAACTCGAGTCTTGGCTTTAATGATTGAACCATTGATTTTGCAATCTTCTGCACATTCTCGTATGATTAGTGGTGCTGATGGGTGAAGTCTTAGGGTTTCTTTAATGACTGCTCTAAGGTAAGGGAGATTTTGCACATCTGATTCTTTTATTAGCCTGTTTGGTCCCACAACTGTGTTACATCTGATTCTTTTATTAGCCTGTTTGGTCCCACAACTGTGTTGATTTCTTCCCTGAGTTTGTTGAATGCTCTTGGACAATTTATGAGCTCCCCCATTGCCCATTGCATTGCTGCTGATGATGTATCTGTGCCTGCAAAGAAAAGGTCCTGCACACATAGACACCACAGAAAGTGAATATGAAAACATAAAATGTGGTGACAGATATATATGTATCTAGAGGTGAATGATAGTAATTTCTGAACTCACAAGCAAGAAAGACTTGATGTCATTTCTAGACAACCTAATTTCAGCTTCAGGATCATTATATATCTCCAATAATATATCCAGCAAATCCTTCTTTTCCCCTACAAGACCTTTCTTAGCCTTCTCTTCATGTTCCTTCATTATCCTCTCCACCAGCCTATCATATTTCGTCAATGCCCCAACCAACTTCTTTCCTGTCCCTGAAAAATCAAAAATCTTTAAAGGACCTAAAACATCACCTAAACTTAATTTCCCTGTAAGCTTTAAACAAGTCTTGACCAACTCTTCAATCTCCTCCGCCTCGTTATTGCTGCCGGAGCATCGTGTGCTCATAGCCATTCTGCAAATAGTGTTATTCGTTAAAGCAGTAAGTTCTTTACTTAAATCGCATACTTTTCCTTCTTTTGCTAATCTTATCACTGATTCTACAAGTTTGACTTTTTCTTTGTCACATACGTCAGTGAACTTATCAAGCTGAGGCACAGAAAGGAGTTTGGTCATACTTAACTTTTTCATGAATCTCCAATAATCGCCATATTGGGCAGTGACGAATCTTGAACCTCTGTAAATGAAATATTCAGCATGTGACGAATCTTTGAACGCTCTTAAATGAATATATTCAGGAAGCCGACCAAAATTCAGGTCTAGGACGAGAAAATTTAGGATCATGGGTTGAATATTAATCTTTAGCTACTGTAGCATTAAGAGGCAACACACAAGGTTGATGGGCACCGTAAAGCGAAGTCTCATCAGTGATGCCGATACCGGCAAGCTAGTCTTGGGAAAGATTTGGGTAGGGATCGAGCAATAAGGTGGAGGTGGCCGATAAGTGACAGAGCCGAGTGGGGCTTGGGTGCGATGGATTTGGGTAGGGGAGGTTTGAATATTCTTGATGACACCAGTGGATCTAAGAAAAGCAGTGATGAACCAAATAAAGGAGGTTTGAATGATTTGATGAACAAGTGGACTAGAAAAGCAGTGATGAACCAAATAAGAAAGAGAGGATAATAAAACGACATGTCACCCAGGGCCATGGATAATTCAAGAGAGGACTCTAGATAATACTTGGTTTTGGTTTGTTAGATATGAAGGTTATAGCAAATGCTTTTATATTGAGTTGGGATGGGAAATTGGCAAATAGGTATATGCTTTGCTTTTGTACTTGTTAGAACATCATTTTCAAATATTTTCTTTCTGTCGGAGTGTGTTTGGAAACTTCTAAAATTCAAGTCTTGGTTGATTCCTATATTTAAAAATTACATATAATTTTTTTTGAAATTAAAAATAAATAACTATGAAAGTAATTGAAATCAATATCAAAAGCGATATGATTTTTATCACGAGGAGTATTCAATTGGTAAAACATACTTGAATTCACCGGATGATCTCTACAAAAATGACCGTCACAAATCCCCAAAAACGAAAATAATCTCTTGGTAAAAAGAAAAAGAAATAAAGTGAGATTATTTTGTTACAAAACTATTAGCACTCTGTTTAGAATAATTTGATTCATTTCAATTTTATTACTATAATTAAAAATAATTTTTAGAAGATGTTAAAATATTGAATTGGTCCTTACACTTTTTCAATTAGAAAACAGATGACAACAGATGGAAGTGGGGGTTGCCATTTGATTATTTTGGGTCTTAATCATGAAAACAAACAACACTAAATTTCATAATTAGAAAGGATGGGTTTAATTAATAGAAATTCCAATTTTTAATATTTAGTTAAATAAATTTTTTGTTCTTGCCACTGTCCTTAATAATGATTGATGACATATTACAAAATCTTCAAGGACCACCTGATATTTTTGTGTGGTGTGTGATGTAGTCTCTGCATTATTGAAGATAGGATAGAATGCATGATTATATATAATCATGACAGTGAAACATCAGCCTATGAAAGTTCATAGTTCATACATTATATAAAATAAATATATAAAGGAAAATAATTGGCTAAATATGAAACTTCAAAGAGTACAAATGATGTGCTCATGCGTTTGTAGGGTGTGGCCATATATTAATTAGGATTGAGTTTTAAAATCTTTTTGAAAAATGCGTTTTGATGTTTTATTTAATTGTTTTATTATTTGTATCGATTGAACGTGAAACTCGTGAACTTCACAAAATCTATAAAATGTAAAGTTCATAAATCGTAAAATTCGCAAAATCTCACAATTCATAATTTGGTTGAAAAATAAAATATAGGGATTGTAATGTTATTTTTTAAAATGAAAATTAAATATTTTAAATTTTATTATTAATATAAAACGTTGAAATTCACATTTCAGGTACGAACTCTCTTTCAAAATATTCTCTTTGTTCAAAAATATAAATCGTTTAAGATTTTTGTACGAGATTAAAAAAGCTATCAACTCTCTTGAATTATAATAAAACTAAAGTGACTTGAGAAGATGATTTTTATACTTAATATAAGGATAAAATTAGAAAAAAAAAAAAACTATTTCTTAAAACACTCAAAACGTCTTATATTTTAAGACAAAACAATCAACATAAAATGATTCATATTTTAGAACAAAGGAATAATAAAATTGAGGACATGATGAAATTAATCAATTATATCGGTTACATTCTTTCAACCAAATAAAAAAATTTATTAAATTCATGAATTATTTAAATTTCATCACTCGAATCTAAACCACCTAATGTTTCATTTTCTTAATTACACAAGTTTTGCATATTTAAGATTTAACCTAATTTATCGAATTTTTTATCCATTAAATTTTTGAATTTTTTTATTTTGTTGACATTAAGTTTTTAAATTTTCATTTTTACTAAAATCAAGGCCTTAAGGATTAGAGAGTTCATTATGATCTCAAATGCAAGCCCTTAAGGTCTACCATACAATATTGGTTGTTTTACTAATTATTAGCTCTGTTGTAGCTTTTAAACAATTCAAATTAGGAGTGTACGGTAGAAATAATTATTTAATTTAAGATAATAAAAAAAGATATTAACTTTTTAATTTATGAAATTTCAGGATGAAAAAAATAAAGGGCATGACTAGGTCAAAAAAATTTAATTAATTTGAATGAAACAAGTATTTAACCTAGGCATGGCCACGGTTCCGGAACCGGCGGTTCCGGTTCCAGAAAAGCTGGAACCGGAACCGAACCGAAATTGGCCGGTTCCGGGGTTCCGGTTTCCAGAAAAGCTGGAAACGCGGAAGCCGGGAACTTGAATGTGGCCGTTCGGTTTCCGGTTGGAATCCGTAGCAGGTTCCCGGTTCCGTGTTTCCGTTCCGATACCGATTACGAAAGCAACCGACGGGTTTCCTGATTGGTTCCGGCGAATCCGCATAATTTGAAATTTTAAATTTTTAAATAACAGGGTGGTTAGAAAAAAAAATTATATAATCATAAAAAAATTAAAAATATGTTGAAAAATTTTTAAAATATCAAGATAACTAAAAAAAAAATTATATGTGCTAACATAAAAAATTTAAAAATATCCTAACAATTTCAAATATTTATAAGACCGGTTTAAAAAAAATTGAAACTGATTTTTTTTTTTAAGTTGAAGCATAAATGATTTTTTTTAAAAACATTTGAATGAATTTTTGTATTTTTTATTAAGTGTTGAAACTAGATGGGGAAAAAAAATTGATTTTTTTTTTTTTAACAAAAATTTGATACTGAATTTTGTTTTTTTTTTAAGTTTGACCCATAATTAGAAAAAAACAAAATGCTTGATACTTAATTTTTTTTAAAAAAAAAAAAAATTTAAGATTGCTACTTATCCTCCTTGGGCGTTTTTAGAGGAATCCAAAGGCGCAACGTAGTTCTTAACTTACCTTAATACAATGTCACCCCCTTTTACCTAATCGGCTATATGCACCACCGGTTGATGTCCCAGTTGAGACGCCCATCGTATAAATCAAATAAAGTCTTAGCTTTCATATTTCGTTGGATTTCTTTGGGCTCGCTTATTCGGACTTTGGTCCAATATTCCACGACAGACGCTTGTGGCTTCTAATGAATCTGGATGGTGTCCATATCAGGAGTGTTTGTTTCAATCAAAGTTGTTACCTTCCTTGACTAAAGTCTTGTATCAATGCCGGGCAGACAGGTGCAACAGTGGAGACCGGAGCTACTAAAATTTGTTTTGCAAGTAAAGAAAGAATTGAAAAAGTATTTGCGTGACGACTCCACCAATCTAAAATTGGAAAATCTGCATCAGCATAATCATCACCAAACTCAAAAGAAGTTGTTAGATAATTATCAAATTCAGAAATAGAACTGGATTCCCTTGTTCTTTTTTGTCTTTGCAATGAAACTTATTGAGCAACACCAACACCACTTACCCTTTATGTTGAAAATTGTGGAATATTAGATTGAGAAGAAGTAGAAATAGAAGTAGATGAACTAGAAAAACTAGAAGCTTGAATAAATCATTATAGTAATGTGCATAAATATGTTTGTTTAACTTTCATGCGTAGTGACTACATTTATATTAACAGTTATCTTTACATCAAGATTGTAGTACATTCAATAAAATAGTCAAAATAATCACTAATCACATTCCATCTACACTAGGATCAATACAAGACAACAAGGCTAAAGAGGTAGGATAAATAAGGTTTTTTAAAATACAAGAATAATTTTTTTTTTCATTGAAAAAAACACATCTTTAAATAAAAAAATCTATCATTTTGATAAGTCTGGGGAGTGTAGTAAGCAACTATTATACACAAAGGGTAAAAAAAATTAGATGTGGGATAATAACCCCCACTAAATATAGGTAGCGATGCATAAAATCTTTATTAAAATAGTCTAAATTTTGCAGACAATCTCCCAATTGTGGATATAAAATTAATATCCTCAATAGTTATTAAGTAACAAAAAAAACATAATAATTCTTTTATATAGAAAAAGAACTCGTTTAAGTATCAATGTTGAATCCCAACGGTTGGACATCGCCTTGGAAAACGTTTTTGGTCTTTATATTTTCTTTACAGAAATAGCCCCAACCTTTCATTACTTGAGCGATGTGCCATAAATATGAAGAGATAGCTTTTAATTGGAGAAAATAAGAACAATCAAGAATTTTTAAACACTACTTGTACAGGACATAAATTTAAAACATGGCATGCCACATCTGTAATGAAATAAATGTTACCACAATATTGGTCACAAATTCTTTTAAGTTCAATGTAATAGATCTAGATATTTGGCAGAAGCATTTATAAATGAAATTGAAAAAAAATTTTTTTTCACTTAGTATTAACATCTAAAATTGAAACAATTACTCATATAAAATAGTTATCATGGCAGTAAATGTTTATCATTCAAACAGAAAAACCAATAATTCTTTTTTTGAATTTTCCAATATTCATCATCGCAAGAGCAATAGTATACCCATATAGAGAAAAAAAAAAAGTGCCCCAAAAAAAATTTCTTTTGCCCCAAATTTGAAAATCGACTGTCCATAACATCACAACAAATTGAAAACGAATTTCAATGAGAAAATCAAGCTCTAATTTGCCTTTTTTTTCTTTATTATTACAAAGAATATATTTCGTTTACTAGTAGTTCTGGTACTGCTTTTAGCACAGGATTTAAAAGCTTTTTGACAATAATTATTATAAACCTATTTTTTCACGGCAAAACTATAAGATATAATGTTCATAGAAATCATTTTAATCATTTTTGCTAATTCTTCTTTTTATATTTTTTCAGAATATTTAAATAAAGAAAGGTTAGAAGCGTACCCGGAAATTTGTTGTTGAGACCGATCAACTACTATTTTTGTTGGATGTTTTGCCTCCAAATGCTTCCAAAATGATCCATAGCCGTCCGCTTATTTAAATTTATAAGATTTTCCACAATAATTGCAAATTATATCGTACATTTTCTCACCTTTGAATTTTCTTGTGAAATAAATGGAGAATATGTCGGAACTTTGTCTTACTCTTGTAACAATTTTTGCTCGTTGCTCTTGCTCTTGCTCTTCATCTTCTTGAAATTGCTCATTAGCGTCATTAAATGGTCGGATCTTCTGAGTTGGACATATGCCAGATTCTGCATTTGGGCAAAACACTCAAAATTAAATTTGGTCGGAGGATCAATATAGATGTTCGTTATTGAGGGATAGATGATTCATCTCAATTTTCCCTGGCCTTACCGCGATTGAGTTCTCCATGCCATTTATAATATATGATAATAAAATATAATTTGGAAATTGAATAAGACCATAAATTAGAGAGAATAAGTTACTTAATAAGAGATACATGTTGAGTAGAGAAGAAATTAAATGAATAATATGAGTAAGAGTGTAGTATAGCCGATGTGTAGAGAGTAGTAAGTAGATGGAGATTGTAGTAATATGATTGGTAGAGAGAGTAAGTAGAGGCGAGTTTGACGATTTTTTTTTGTATATAAAATTTTGTAATAAAATAGTATAGTTATAATAGAATCCAAAAATTCAATTTTGCCTAAAAATACCGCTTCAAAACTAGACGTTTATGAAAGTTGGGAGGGGTACTTAAGAACATTTAACAAAAATTTAGAAAAAAGAAAAAAAAAAAAAAAAAAAAACTATAAATTGACAGTTAAACGGGCTAGAACCCGGCGTTCTGAAACCGGCGGTGTTCCATTCCGAGTGTCCGAGCCGGTTCTAGTTGGAACTGGCGGTTCTGTTCCACATTTCGTTTGCTGACCCGAACTGACGGAATGTTCCGGTTCGGTTCGGTTGTCCGGCGGTTACCGTTTCACCGGTTCCGTTGCGGTTCCGGGCCGTTCACGAACCGGACGGTTTCGTTTCGCCGAACCGCAGCTTAATGCGGATAGCCGTAAATTTAACCTTGATAAAAAATACAGTTCATGTCCCGGTTCCGGTTCTCACCGGTTCCGGTTGCGGTTCCGGGCCGGTTCGAACCGACGGTTCCGGTTCCCGGAACCGCAATATGGCCATGCCTAATTTAACCTTTGATAAAAATAAGTTCCATCGATCTCTAAAAGTTATTATAAATATTAATATATTATGTTACCGAACATTACAATTAATAGAGATAGAACTTTAAATTGTGGAATAGGCATTAGACAACCTTGAAAGAGCAATAAGAAAATTGCAGGAGCCTCATCTCCTGTTCCTTTATGAAAAACCATAAAAATGGGAGGAGACACAATCAAATCAATGTGGTTATTACGAACCAAATATTTATTCTTTCACAGAAAGAAAGGCTATATCACCCACCATTTCTCCCAATGTGATCAACTGAAAAACATCTAACTTAACTAACCTGTCTTCAAATATCTTCTTCTACTTTATCTAAAAGGGACTAAAGTTTCAATTAGAAAAAAATCACATCTGGCTTATTACTTCTAATTAGCTCAAACTGCTCACGTATTGCCAAGTCCTCAACAGTTCCTACTCATACAAATCATCTGTTTCGGTTGATATTTCTTTAGTTTAAGTTTGGGTGATTTAAATCTCACACCCAATCCTATAAATAATAGTTCTTACAAATTTGTTAGACAATCTGCAACAATATTTTCATAGTCCAAAACCAAGACAAGAAAACAATATCTTGGACAGTTTCAAAACCAATAAAGATTTTCAAAACTATGAATTGGATTGGATTATAGCATCATACGAAAAATTTATATCTTCCCTCACAAGACTAACTTCTGAAAGAAAATGCAACTGGTCAGAACAAATGTTACCATATCATCCTTGAAAAGTGTTAGTACATACGCAAAATATATTCTGAATTCAACATTTTTCGGTTGCCAAGTGTCAACAATCTAGATTTTATGTACATCTGACAAAAAATACTAGGGAACTACCCTACACTCACTTAAAAGAATGCAGGCAACTATCAAAGGAAACCAACAAGAGAATGCACAAAATTTTGCAAACAATCCTACACTAGAAGTCCTTCAGCAATGCCTGTTACTAGGAAAATTGCTACCATACCCTACGCCGAGGCCTTAAGCGAGAAGTCAAGGCAGCCTACTAAGACAATCAAAAAATTAAGAGCTCTGTACCAAGTTCCAAGTTCAAGACTCTTCAAAAGATATCATCAGGAGATGATTAGTCTCAACGTGCATAAGGTATCACCAGTAGATGATCATTCTCATTGCACAGGTATGTCATTAGGGCCCTGCCTCCCTATTCCACATTTTCTGATCTGAAGAATCAGTGCTATCATTAGGAGATTAGTGATCATCTTAATGACATAAGAGTTCGAACTTTTTTGTCCCTCACTGCCTTTTTAGCACTTGCAGTCCTTTTCAGTTTCCGCAATTCCTCCATTACTTCCTTTTCAACTGTGTCAATTGAGTTCAGTAGCTTCTTCTGAGGTGTTAGAAACTCTGAATCTTCTGTAGCTTGATTTGTAATATCAAGCAGAATTTTTGGAACTTTGCCCACAGTTGGAGGACAGCGTTTAACTTCAAGACTTGGAATTGGAGACATTATAGTGTTACCGTGCTCGAGATGAGCAGCAACTGGTGATGGTGAAGAGTCATGAACCCCATAAGCGTGGGGCACTGGGCTCTCAATTTCCTGGGCCCTGCCAACTCCCAAATGCTCTCTTCTCCTTTCAATTGCCTGGCGAAATAGTTACTCCAGAATAAGAGCACTAGTAAAATTAGCAAAAATGAATACTGGGACATGATACCAATGTGGTTTGAAACTCAGGATTGTACTAGGCACAGATATTGAACTCGACAAATAGGCATTATGAGAGTCTATTTGACAGCCATTTGGTTTGGGTGCTCGAGTTGAACACCACCTTGCTTAAGAAAATTCATCAAGGTCAAGTAACACTAGAACAAAAGGCAGACACTGTTGCGTTATGAGCTCAGGATGCAGATCCCAAAACAGTTCATCAATGTCCTTAAATGTATTGACCAGAAATACCACAATATTTTAAATCAGGCTCATGCTTAGCATTATTTTCTAGTCACTAAATCAGAGTCATGAAAAAGTTCAAGTAAATAGCATCAATGGCTATGAAAAAACACAGTAGCAAGGTACCATACAAAATATATGAGCCGAAATAGGAAAATCAGGAATCAACAAATTTACCCGCAGTAGAAAAAATAAAAAACAATTGAACTGAATTGAAAATCATAAATGATAAGACGGAATGAGTAAATTACACAAGACTACGCATAAAGAAAAGAAAACACACACCCAAAGGAAAAAAAAAAGAAAGAATTTGAAACCACATGACATTTACAGGAATAATAGCCATCCACCTAACCAGAAGAAAAACTACAATTAGTCACATAATAAGAAATCATAAAAAGATCGACAAATGAAAAGAAAATTGCTTGAAATCTAGTCACACAAGCTTCTGATTCAACTAAATTTCTAGGATTAGAAATGATATCCACATAGTGTAAAGAATAATCCCAAGGCATGTGTTTTTCAAAGGTTACATTAGCATACGCAAGCAAGAGGCAGGTACAAGAAAGTCAACTCATGCTCGATTTGTTTGTTTCTAACTAAATTAAAGGATAACTCAGCTAAGGATAGGTATTAGACATTTCCAGCATCTTTTTAGTTTTTAATATCCATTACTATGACTAACTGAGAAATGATACAACATAACCATCAACCATATACTAATAAAATTTCGTGCATAATCTGTACTTCGTAATGAACATAACCAAGTCTCTAAACTTACTAAAGCAAACTGAAGGATCAAAATCATGGATAAGAAACCAAGGCAAAAGGGTCTACTCAACTCAATTATACCACAAGAACCAGAAGAGTAAAAGGTTAAACAGAGCACTAGAAAAAGGATCAGTTCATGAATAAAGGAATTGTAACTGAATACTGATTAACTTTATGCTGGACATTATAAGTTGAAGGTTTGTCGACAATCTAAAATAAACCATGGTGAGAGAAATTCCACAGTATCATTTAAAGCTAACAACTTACAGATTCAAAATGTGCAACTCAAGTTTCAAAGCATGATCCAAAAAACATAACAAGACCCAAAACCAAACAAATAATACAAATCCATCACAGTTTATGCAATTGACATTATCAAACTAGAGAATAACAGATAATCCTAAACGTCCAAGCAATCCATTATATACTCTAACTCTTCCAATTTATATCAAAATAATTTAAACCAAAACACCAGAAAAAACCGAACACAGAGATAAACCTGAAAATTAAGCTCAAAAGTGACCAAAGAAACATTTAATGAAGACCGATCAAGATCAGATGACTAAACAAACACCATAAAAACGGAGTTACAGAGAAAGAGCGTTACCCTAACAACAGCAGTGATATCTCGAAGAGGCGTTCTAGGATACCAAGAAGGTAAGATACGACCTCTTCCATTTCCGTTCCCCCGCCTCAGACTCGCAACTGGAGTGTTCTCTCTGACCAACGTTCCGTGCGTATTTCGAATCCTTGGAGTTCCTAACCCGCCCCTTCCACGGCTAATAGGACTCGCACCCACTGTAACCGTTCGAGCCGCTGCAATTGGTCGACGAATCGGAGACAAGGCAGATTCAAGGTCGGGTTGGTCTAGATAAAATCCAAGAGCCCCTGACCGTCTACGAGAAAACACGGCGGCAATGTCAATAGCCCTTGACAATCTATCTCTTGATTCCGTCATTATGAACAGTATTCAACTGAGAAAACGATAAAAATAAATATATTAGACAAATCTTGAAAATGAATCATATTCTCTCAGGAAAATGGATTTGTTATGGTACTATTAAATCTTGCGATACTGAGCAGATAAGATCGAATGAAGAACAGAAAAGAGATGTATGGATTCGTTACCTTTACAATTTGATGCTGATTGGTCGATTAGCGAGAGATGGAAGAGTTTCACTGCAGATGATAAAAGGAGGAAGAAGAGATTTGGTAGAAGCAAAATGGGGCAACTTTTCAAAATGGATTTGGGCGGTACTATAGCAAAAATTTGGAAGCTTCTGGCACGTGTGGGACGTTCGTGTGTAGGGTTCAAAATTCAAATTTTTCCTCAAGGCGCTCGTTTACTCCACCGGAAATTATTTTTTTGCCCTTAACCCATATATCAGGTCACAGAGGACAGACGTTGGATTTCCAATTTTTAATTATTATTATTTTATTGGATAAAAAGCCCAAATTTTAATGTGCTTAATTATGGATAATTAAAAATATTATACTCTCTCCGTACCAAACAAGTAATCCATTTTCCATTTTGTTAAAAAATATCATTAGAAGATAATTTTATTCATATAATTTTTCTATTATGTTCATCTAAAATAACACATGATCAATTATTATTGGAATAATAATTAATAATTAATGAGAGTTATTGAAAATAAAATAAAATTTAATGAGGATATTGTAGACAATTTTTTAATGTGCTTAGTTAATGATAATTAAAAATATTATAGTATTATTACTAAAATCCTATTTCTTAATCCATAAGGAGTTGCACTTCGATTAAATAAACAATGCCTGGAAAGTCATAGATCTCATGGTTCGCATTTCCAGCATTTTTTTTTTTTTTTTTTTATTTTTTTTTTTTTTTTTATTTCATATTGGGCTTTATAAGATATGAAAAAAAAAATTATTTACCCCTTTTAATTTTTTATTCGTTTTTTTATTCTAGATCAACCCCAGCTGTATATAAGATGGACGCATTTTTTTTTTTTTTTTTTCATATTGGCTTTATAAGATAATGAAAAAAAAATTAATTTACCCCTTTTAATTTTTTATTCTTTTTTTATTCTAGATCACCCCAGTGTATATAAAGATGACACTTGATAATGAAAACTCTATTTCTTTTTCTGGTATTAACCCACAGATAAATCCAGTCCACTTATTGATAATGAGAACTTTATTTCTTTCTTTTTTTATTTTATATTAAGTATTGACCCTGCAGTTAAACTAAAGTGCTCGTAATGAGTATTTGTTCGATCTATAAATATAACGAGAACTCTATTTGATAGGTCTTCTAATCCAAGAAAAAAGAAAAGGGAAAAGTGACTTTTCATGAATCATAATGATAACTAAAATTTCATTCAATTGATGATCATCATATATGTCAATAACATATAAACAGCCTTACCCTATAATCCAACAATAATACAATAATACCCACTTTCTAAACAATTACATGAATTTGTTCAAAACAATGGATTAATCCTAAATGAACAAAATTAATTAATTAATTAATTTCCAGAAAAGAAAATTGTTAATTATAAAAAGATTAGGATTACATGCACTCTTAGCAACAACCACCACCAGAACTCTTAGCAAGATTTTGTTCTTCTCTAGGAACTATGATCCTTGTTCCTTTTAAAAGGCCTGAAATTCCATTAGGATCCTGTTCATCATTTGCAGAAAGAGTTTTCTTGCTTATTACTCGATATATCTCTGTTAATACAGTCAAAAATGCAGTTTCAACATTAGTTGCCTCTAAAGCTGATGTTTCCATAAAGAAGAGATTCTCTCTTTGAGCAAATTCCTGTGCATCTTCTACAGGCACCGCTCGAAGACTTCCTAAGTCACATTTGTTGCCAATTAGCATTACTACAATGTTCTTATCAGCATGCCCTCTCAGTTCCTCTAGCCATCTTGCCATATGATCGAAAGATTGACGCTTTGTCATGTCATAAACTAACATTGCGCCTACTGCTCCTCGATAATATGCGCTAGTCACTGCCCTGTACCTGAAAACAATTGCGGAACTTAGGAGGCCAAATCAGAAACAAGAATGCACTATTTGTAAAGAATTTCAACAAAATTTTGGAGCTAAGGGGTGGGCCAGTGACCCCAGCACTCCTAGTTCTGCCAGTGAGAACAAAAGACTATATATTTTATCTTATTGAGAAATCAATGAGCTTTTTGTGTAATAAAAATAAAACCAATGTCTTAGAAGCCATTTCTTGAGTTTCTACATATACTGCTATTAGAACTCTCTCTTTTTTCGCCATTGCATTTAAGAAAGCAGAACAATGCATTGTTTTGTACAATACAGGATCAGCGATTCAATGTAGCATTTCCTATATAAAAGGTGTTACTCTTTAACAGGCTCAAGCTAAAAGAATAAAGAGAAATTTTTAATCAAGATTGGGAATTAAAAAATTCTAAGATTAAAAAAGCAAAGATTAACAACTTTGAATGAACTGCTTTGCTTAAGAAACTATGGAACTTTTCAACAAAAAATCAGTAGGGTTAAGGCTGCAAGAAAATTGACCACAGCTTTTAGGCCTCCATACATAGTAGCCAATATCTTCAACAAAGCAGTAATAATTTTTGGCATAGGATAGCATTTAACATAAAAGATGTTATCCTCTAAGATGCGAAAACAAAAAGGACTATAGAAAGGGAAATCTTAGTCAAAGTTGTGTTGTAAGGAAATTCCCTGTAAGACATATAATGAATGCATCTATATTGTATAATAAAAAGAGAATATGCAGGTCAGGATGTTTAGAAAGACAACTAGAATGCCCCACATACAACTTAGATTAATTCCTTTAGACAAGAAAGAAATTCTTCAAAACATAAAGCGGCATCAAATGCCATTCATCCAAATCCACATAAGGAAGGAATGATGATATATAGATGGAAAGGTTTTTTGCATAATTAAAATAAAAAGGAAGAGAAGAAAAGGTCCATATTATATTCATACCATGAAAAAAGTGATGATGATGAAATAGTAAGCTAATAAGTTCTAAGGCCAAATTAGTTTTTCCCATGTTATAGCTAAAAGTGTAAATTTAAAGTTGGATCAATATACAACTACAAAACCCCATTTACAAATATGAAAACTATGAATCAATCGACATGGATAACTATATAATTTGAATGTCATTGATCTTTAATTTTATATATCATCCTTAATAAAAATGCAAAAAGTCAGGAGAATTTGAAAGTTTCAATTCAAATATTTAAAGAAAAAGAAAAGGGAATTGCAAAGGAAGTGAAAATAGTCACCTTTCTTGGCCAGCAGTATCCCAAATTTGTGCCTTGACAGTCTTGTTATCAATAGAAAGCGTTTTGGTTTGGAATTCAACCCCAATTGTGGCTTTAGAATCCACACAAAACTCATTTCGCGCAAACCGTGCCAAAAGCTGAGATTTCCCAACAGCTGAATCTCCGATCAATACAATCTTAAATACATAATCAATCTTTTGATTAAAATCTACATAGTTTGACATTGTCAAAACAAATCAAATCCCTCTTTCAAATCTTCAATTTTTAACATGTAAGAAAACAAAAGAGATCTATCTATTAACCTTTCTCATGACTCAAGGAAATGAATAGAATTCTCAGGTTCCAACATGGGTGTTTTCACAGAAGATTATTCCTTTTTTCCTGGAAATCTAAATTAGGGCAAAGGGTGATAGAGGGATGATTGAGAAGTTTTGGAAACGGTGAACTTTTCTTTCTTTTCTTTTCTTTTTCTTCTTGTTTTTTGGTTTGTTGCAGAGAAGTGTTTGGGAGATGGATGGAGGGAGAGTAGACCAACGGGCAGTACGGGACCTACCCATGATTTGTTATTTAACGGTTTTGGTAGCTATAGGCTTCAAGGCCGAATTGGTCCATATGATTTTTTTTTTCTCCAAGGCATAAAAGATTTACTCTAATGTTGCACCTGATTTTTTTTATTATTATTATTATAACGAATTCAATTTTTATTCAAAAGAATATAATACATTTTTATATTTAAAATCTTGGATTAAATGAAAAACCAGTTTATTTTTGTTCCTAAAATATTGGATTATATAATCTTGGATTAAATGAAAAACCAGTTTATTTTTTTGTTCCTAAAATATTGGATATAATATATATTATTATACTATATATATATATATTATATATATATATTGAAATTTACATATTATATATATCTAATTAGATACCAATTATATGTTTGAGGCATACAAAGGCATGAAAATACTCATAGGTTGAAAAAACCGAAAAGGCAAAATGAACGAAAGTTTCGTCCACACCTAAAACAGTAATGTTTCAATTGGTTCATCCATCTCTGTATATATTGAAATTGTACATATATATATATTAATTGAGATACAATATATATGTTGAGCATACAAAGCATGAAAATACTCATAGGTGAAAAAACGAAAAGGAAATTGAACGAAGTTTCGTCACACCTAACCAGTAATGTTTCAATTGGTCATCCATCTTGTCCCTTAAATACGTATTGAATGGATAAAGTTCATCGGATGACGTAATGTAATATGATCCGATAATTTTAATGTAAATAAATAATTTTACATAATCAATTAGATATAATTTAGATGAATATGGTTCAGTTTAGATGAATAAAGTTTATCGAATGACTTAATGTAATATAATCTAATAGTTTTAATATAAATAAATAATTTTGCATATTCAATTAGATTAGCCTAAATCACTACCTTTCGAGTCTTTTCAATCATAATAATTTTTACAAATTTGATAAGTTAAGGAGAGGATTATCCTTCATCATTGTTATTTCATCTCTCTCCATCTTCAAAAAAACTTCTGCAAAGAAATTACATATAACAAGGAATTAATGCCCTACAAGAACATATCCTGTACATTTCTCTCGTTATTATTACAGGTATTTGTGTAATGGAAGCTCTGTTAGCTTCCACATGATTTTGCAGTGAAATTTTTGCTAAAACTTACTATATGATATTGCTTGCCCATTAGAAATAAAATAAAAAAAGAAAATACATTTGCTTTTAGATGCTTGTTCATTGCACAGAAAAAAGATAATAACTAAGAACTGGTTCCTATCCACTTCCCTTATTTTCTGTACAAAAGCAAATCAAGCAATTTGGTTTTGCATTGGCTTCTGCTTACTCAAACACTTGCAATTTGCTCGGATGTCACTTAGAGTCTGCACACAACAAACAGTTTCTGTCACTAAAAAATGATAAAATTTATTGCCAAATTGTTAAGTTTTTTTATTCTTTCTTCTTCAATACCTTGTACTGCTTTTGAAGATCTTTAATGTACTCAACAGCCAAATCTAGCATGTCTGCTGTGTTTGTTTGCTGCCAAGAATCAAAATAAAAACAAACATCATAAGTTGTTAAAGATTATGCTTTCGTATTCATGAGCTATGAATCGATAGAACTAAAGTCATCTATGGGCTGCGAGGCTGCGAGTTTGAACCTAATTAATGAAAAAAACAAAAAGATAATACTTTTGAGTCTAGAATGTGTGGGAAAAAAAAAATACTACCTTCTCCATGTTTGGTACAAGCTCTTGTAATTTCCTCATTCTTTCACTAATCCGGGTCCTTCTTACCTGAAAATGCAATGAATACCCATATAGCCTCTTAAACAAAAGTCTTGAATTTGCAGAATCAACCAATTTAAATTTAAACTACAAACATTTCATAGTCAAAAAGCATTAAGACCAAGAATATCAGTACAATGACATTTTGCAGATGCTTACTGTTATACAGATAAAAGTCTTACCCTTTCTGCAATACTTCGAGGATGAGTAGCACAACCACGCTTCGCCCTAATTTTACAAGGAACAGAATCTTGGAAATGAAGGAATTTTTCCATGGCAACCATATCGACTGATGTCCTTGGTAAGCTTAAGTGATGTGATAATACATGAAACCGATTTCCAAGCTCTCCGTTCTAATTTTGTAAAATTATTTCAGATTAGAATTCGATCAACCAACGTAAAGAACTACATAATACACTTAATGCACAAACTCTACCTGAATATTAGAAAATAGCTTTCCGTTATCATCTGTATCTCTTTTCATGCCATTAAAATTCCCTACTAAATGTGAATCATTCCAAGAACCATATGAGATCCCAGTTGTACTGCTATAAAAGCGATTATGGCAGTTGCTATTTCCAAGCTTTCCACTATCAGGACTGGCTGCATCCATGTTATCACTCTCAATTTCTGAAATCTGTGATAGCATGCCCAAGGAAGAAGGTACTCTTGATGAGAAGCTAAGTTGAGTCTTCAATCTTGGACTTACTTCTCCATTAGTACCATTCACCCCAGCGTAGTTTCCCATACATTTCATGGTGGCATGGCCTGCAATTTACTGGAAGATCTTCAATCTTTCCTTCTACTATATATATATATGCGCGTTTGTGCGGGTGTGTGTAAATGTATAAATATTACTCTCACTATAAATAATGAGGGATTTCAAACGCAATTGTGTCACAAAATGTATGCGGTTTCAATAAAAAATTAAAATGGAAATGACAGAAACAAATTCTTTATTTCTTTGTTACAACATTAACCCATCTTAACCTATACAAATACAAAATGTTTCATTCCTTTGAAAGGAGACTACTAGCAGCTTATTTCAAATGAAACATTTATGAAGATTTGATGGTCCATTAGAAGTTTTTCCAATTTAAAAATCTTATTTCCCTAGATTGAAAATTCTGAACCACTTACTGCACAGCTAGCACCATAAAATATATGAAGTTTATCTTTTTAATTTCTCCATCTCTCAACAAGTTCAATCGCATCTGAGCTCCATCAATTGCTCAAACACATCCATACAACACAAATATCAATAATATACTGAATATTCCACTCTCTGAGGAAACTCATCCCAATTTCTCTAACACGTCTCAAAAAAACAAGCAAATTTAAAAGTACAGCCAGCCAATTCTATATTTGACTAAAGAAACTTTCAAACGTACAAATCTAATTAAACAGTAAACAAAATGCTAAAAAAGCATCATTTAAAAATGAGAGCAAGAAAAATACCATTTTGTACAGAGAGATTTCCAAAAAGTCCAGCAGGAGAGCTGTTCTGTCTAGCAAGACTTGAATCAACCCTTTTGGCTTGTTCATGGTGACCCATTGCCATTGAACCAATCAAACCGTATGAGCTATCCATAGCTGAAGAACTTGTGGCAGAACTCTGTCTAGGGTAATGAGGAGGCAAACCAGAGTAACTTTGTGGCGAGTTCGTATAATTCAAAGCTGCCTCTCTCACTCTGATTGCAGATTTATCCTCAAATTCTTGAAAACTCAAAACAGGATCATTGCCAACTCCATCATCATTGAAATTTGCAAGTAGAGAACTTGGAGCAGACCGAAACCTCAATAACCCAGAACAAGTTTGGTTGTTCTGGTGGTGAAAACTATTATCATTACTTGAATCCATGAACAAATGTTCTGTTTTACTCTGTTTCCTTCCTAAAACTGCAAGCTCTGACTCCAGAAATTTGATGCTAGGGAACTATTACACATACCTTAATACCAATTTATTTCCTTGAAAATTCCAGGAATATTTTCGCATCACTTTCTTAAAGAAAAATATATATTTTTTTTTCTTTCTGCTTATTTTTTAAGCAGAATAAGATAAGATCTTGAAGAGGAAGCAACTCAAGAAAAGTTCAAGACCTTTAGGGGAACATATAAAAGATTCAAGGAACACGAAAAACCCTAATAAGAAGATAATAGAAACCGTTAATAAATGGAACCAAAGAGACTTCTGTTGTGTAGAAGATTGTAGTAAGAGAAAAGATTGAGAGAGAAATAAACGAATTTGTAAAAACAGAGCAGAAACCTTAAAGAAGGATAAACAAGACTCAAGCCTCAGATTTGCTTTTCACAGCACCGAAAGCAAGGAAGATCTTGAGGGCTTAAAGATGGGAGAGACGCAGAGGGGGAGAGAAAGAAACAATTTTTTTTCTGTTTTGTGCAAAGAAGAAGCCCATGAGAAAGTTCAGAGAGCAATCAAAGTTATATATATCTCTTTCTTTCTCCACTCTAATCAAGTTCATGTCCTTTTGTTGGTGTACTAAAATGCCCTTCCCCTGTTTTGCAAAAATTTAAGTGCTTCATATTTGTTTCTGTTTTTGGACAAAAGCATGTAAAGCAAACCATGGGACTTTTTGTCAATGTTTGAAAGAGGAAATGCTTCCTTTGCCCAAATTAGAACCACCTTGCATGACACCACATAAGAGTTAAAAAGAATGCAAAATTATTAATTTCATGCAAAAAAAAGAGAAGGGAATAGTTCCTTCGTTACTTTGGTTATCCTAAGTTTAATTTAATTCAAAAAAAAAAAAGAAAGGATTAGCAAAAAAAAAAAATGAAATTCGTCCATTCCATTTTATTTACTTATTATTCCGTTTTTCAATGTTCTAAAATATTTGCAAGGTTTTTAAATTTAAATATGTTATTAATTATTTTTTTTCTCATAATAATCTTAATGATTGTTTATTAAATGAAGGATTTTTATCAATATCTTAATAAGTTAAAAGTAAAAAATCGCAAAATAACTTTTTGTTGACTAAATTCTTGATATGCGTGTTTTATCAAACCATGCAAACAAAATGGGACGGAGAGAGTGTTGTTTCACATTTAAAATAAGATGAGATACTTGTAATAAAACTAAAAAATAAAAAAAAATAAGAAATATACATTAGAGGAAGGAGATTAGAATTCGAATCTATTGTTAAATCGTATATGCATTTATCATTAGTTATGCTTTAGTGTAGGATTTAATTTTTGGATATGGTTTTTTGCCCTTTAATTTTTAATTATCTCCAAGTTCAATTGAAATAATTTAGTTTTCATCTTTGTACCAGTTGTTTAAAATTTTATTACATTCTTTATGATTTCATGAATATATTTTTAAATTTAAGTGTGAAAATCTCATGCACGTGAATAATTATTTTTAGAAAAAATAAATCAATTAATAATATTAAAATTTCAAAGATTGTGAATCTATTCATATTCATATAGATCAGACATAATTTCGTCCATTTTAAGATAAATAAAACCCCAATATTCAAACTTCTCTAAGCGAAATAGTTCCTATTTTATCATCATGAAGTAAAATGTGAATTAAAGAATGAAGCTGCTCTATTACATAAATAAATATATAGATCAGACATAATTTTCGTCCATTTTTAACATAAATAAAACCCCAATATTCCAAACTTCTCTAAGCGAAATAGTTCCTATTTTATCATCATTTGAAGTTAAAATGTGAATTAAAGGAATGAAGCTGCTCTATTACATAAATAAAAGGTATATAATATATATATATATATTATATAATATCCATATTTTTAGAATATTTTTAGAAAAATAAATAAATTAATAATATTAAAATTCAAGAATAACTGTGCATCCACGTAGATCAGATTCAGAACTTATTAAAACGTTAATTATTCATAATTTCATATCCTACAAAATATAATAAGCTTCCCAAATATCTACCCGGATAGTGACATTTTTAGTATTATTTATATATTCTTTTAATAATAATACAAGAGGGTAAGTGATAAAAGTGAGGTCAGATAGAAACGGAGAATCAAAAAGAAGTTAGACGGCGTTATACCTCGGGAATGGTATCCTCGCTGACCTAGTCCACCTGTGGAACCGATGCCTGCCTGAGATAAGGCATAATCAACAAAGTCACAAACCAGACTTAATAACTATTGGCCAGTTAAATGCTCTGACGTCACCGTTAGATCCGTTTAGAACCAGATTCGTGCGGCATCCGATTCTCGTCCTTGTTTTCGCAATCCTCATTAGGGCGCCGTCTTTCCATTTCATCAAATACCACTGCTTTTTCCCATATTTGCAATGTTGCCATTAGAAGAAAGTAATACTACTATATTATTTTGATTTGGATTTGGCATGCTTTTGTCAATCCTTTTTCATCTTTTTTTTTTCTTTTTTTGAGATGTCTATTTTTCATCTTATAGCCAAAGAATTTTGCAGTGTTGACATTATTATTAAGAATAATTCCTAATCTTCAAATGCATCATATTAATAAATAATAATTATTATAATAAAAAAATAATAAAAAAGTGAATAATAAAAAAGCGAGGATCAATTTATTCTCACTTGAAAGCATACAACCATCAATAAAATTTGATGATTCTTTCAATACAGATAAATTTGCATTTGAATATAATTTCACTTAATGTAACGAGCCATAGCAAAATGTACTGTAATTTTTTTAAAAAAATACAATTTAATAAAAATTGGTTTAATAATAAAAAGAAAAAAAAAAAAAAGTAAAAAGAGAAAAAAAAAAAAAAGCAAGGTCACGTGAAAAAAAAAAAAAAAAAAAAGCAAGGTCACGTGTCATCCGTTGTCTCCACCTTTGATGGGGTCGTGGTACCTGTGGAAAAAGGGCTAAAAGTAAAGTTGTAAACAATAAAGTAAAAAATGAAAATAATAATAGTGAGAGATACAAGACAATGCAGAGCTCCCATTAAAGAAAACAAAGGTTTATTTATGGCTTTGTGTGGAGGGAAACAAGGGCACGTGACCTTGCTATTTCTTCAATGCTCATGCTTTTCCCTTCTTTTTTAGTATTTTTTTTTAATCATTTCTCTTTTGGGCTTTTTATCACAAAGGGTAAGTGAAAAAAAGAAAGGGCTTTTTTTTATGGGTGTGAGTGTTTGTGTAACCCTTTTTTTATGGTTTTCTTTTTATTAATAAATAAATTGTGGGACCCTAGACCATAACCAATACTAATTAAAATAAGATTACCCTAATCCTCTTCTATGTAATATTTTAAGGCGAAAAATAAAATCTCGAATTACGATATGCTTACCAATTTAACGAGTTAAGAGTAAAGCCAACTCACGGTATATGATCTATTGAATCACATTTTTGGATTACCAAATTTTTTTTTTTAAATAACCCACATGATATGCCTTCATTTTTGGATTTTAAGAAAATATAAATTGAATCCCTCAAACAATTTTTTAATTTATTAAGCTTTTTAGGTATAAAAAGAGAGGAAGAGAGAGAGTAATAACTATGAGATGTATGGATACAAAGATTTAAAAGATTTAAAGAAGCAAAGCAAAATGGAGATCATATGACTTGAGAATATCATATTAAAAGATTCTGAAAACAAAAAATATATATAACTGAAATGTCTGGCAGTTGCACTGAGAGAATCCCATAATAAAAAGATTCTGAAGTCTCAATAATTTTGGAAGCTACTCTTATTTGGTACAAAACAAATTAATTATTCATAAAAAACATAAATGTATAAATAATTCAATATCAAAAATCTACATTAAGTTTTCAAAAATTAAAAAAATTAATAAGACTCTTAAGTATTATATTAATTGACATGAATGAAATGAAAAGTCAGAAGTTTTCTTTAATGATGCACATGCCATTACAAATTCAAAAATTTGTAATTTAAAAAAAAAAAAAAAAAACAAATGATCAATTTGAGATGAGCTTTTTCTAACTTCTACATATAATGATTGATCAACGGTATCATCATTTTCAGAGCATATTTTATTAATATCAGAGTAAAAAGTATTTTTTAATAATATTAAACTGACCAAGTTATTGTTATTATTATTAAATTAATTAAAGGTCTAATATTGTAACGTTCGACTCCAACCACCAAAAGCATTTTCTGTTTTGGATTAAGCCAATTCCACCAAAAAGCGTATTTGATGACTAGTTTCCTCCTTTTCGATATATGATCCGATTCATTCATGTGTCCCGCATTCTACTACCCATAGCTAGTGTAACATCCTATAAACTAGCCAGGAGTTTTGTTCTACCCGGGCTCTTAGAATTGCTTTAAATGGAAAATTTATTTTGCAAAATTGATTTATATCCTCGCTAAATTACTGTTCAAAAAAATTCAAGCACCAAAAGAAAAAGAAAAGAAAATAATTTTAATAGGAATCAAATCAACAAGTGGCATAAAGAAAATATTAAGATGTTACATGAATTCTAATTACGTCACGCACCAATTGCTTGGGCCAATTCTCAAAGACTTTTTATGCCCCAAGTTGTCTGGGAAATAAAACGGGCCCATATGATAATCTGGGCCATCTTTAATATTTATTAATAAAAATACTAATAATAGTAATATATAAATAAAAATAATTAGAGGTTGTATGATTTTAAATAAAAGTTGAAACAAATAATAATAATAATAATGACAAAATGTCAATCTCATCAAACCATAGTTACAACCTTTATGCATAAAAAAAGAAAAATCTTCAAAAAGGACTCATCAATTATTAAATTAGTTTTTTGATTGGCTCTCTGTAGTTAAATGCTTTTAATTTATTATGGCTTCACTAAAATCGATCCATTTACCATGTCTGTTGTTGCTTATGAAATACCCTGCTTTTATATTATTATTTGCCAAATGAAATACAATAACATAATGTGTGTATTTGTAAATAATTTGTCTATTGCATTCTTCGTGATGATGCGTGAGAGCAGAAGCAACCCCAAAAATTTTTACACTCTGCACTGTCGGCAGTAATTATAATAATTTGAAAGCTCGTTAGGGACAATAAATTCCATTACAAAGCCCATTAGAGGCAAGTAAGGGGAAGGAATTAAATGTTACATTATTAAGACTATATATATATATATATATATATTTCACACCTCTGCCACCTGTCGCGCAGTCTCATTATACAAACTTCGGAAAGCCTCGTTCGGACCATAAATTCATTAACACCCACCGCTCTCAGCCACGCAAGTAAGGGGAAGGAATTAAATGTTACATTATTAAGACTATAGTACTATATATATATTATATATATATCTTAAGATTCACTCGGCAATGGTGTGTGGTGTCGTGCTTATAGTCTAATGGTTTCTTTATCAATGACGGTAAATTACTAGAACAATTTTTAATATATATATATCTAAGATTCAAATCGCAATGGTGTGTGGTGTGTGCTTATAGTCTATGGTTTCTTTATCAATGACGGTAATTATAGAACAATTTTTAAAAAAAAAAAGTTAAAAAAAAAATAGTAAGGTCAATATGGTAGACAATAAATAAAGCATAAACATATTAGAAGAGAATACATTAACATAGTACTCCTAACAAGACATGTATCTAGTCCCACAATGAGATAAACAATAAAGGGTGAAGGTTATGTAAGCTCGACATTATATAAGAACGAACCATACTAACCAAACCCAATAATAACAATTGGAACTTAGACGTTCGTCTTAAAAAACTTACACAAAATGATTCTGAAGCAAAACCAACTTCAGCATCACAAGTCAGTAGCAGCAAACAAAACTTTACAAGAGCAATCCTTTCTTTCCTTCATTGTAATTTGATGCGATCGAGACTCTCAGACACCATTCTCATCCTTGGACGCACCTCTGAGTCTAATTCTGTGCAGTTTAGTGCAATATGAAACATTGCAATAACCTGCTTCTTTGCATACACCTCACTCAACAATGCTGGGTCTATAATCTCAGACAATGGACGTTCTTCTCGAAAGACCTTCCTTACGAGACTTTCTAGCCCCTTACCATCATTTTCTGGTCCTGCATCAGGTAGCTGGCCTGTTAGAAGTTCCATTAGTATAATTCCAAAGGAGTATACATCACATTTCTGACTGAACTTGCTGCTGAATGCTCGTGCCTCCGGTGCCAAGTAAAAGTTAGACGGAGTTGAAATTTTTGAGCCAATTGCAGAGGTTACAATGGTTTGGTTCAGATACTGCTTTTTCGATGCTGCTGTTGTGAATTTTGAAGTGCCTGAGACAAGACGAACGAGTCCAAAACTTGAGATGTAAGGCTGGAGTTCATCATCAAGTAGGATTTTTGTTGATTTTAAGTTGCCATGAACATATTTCCTAGGGCTGTATTCATGTATATACATTAATCCCCTTGCAGTTCCTTGCGCAATTTTCAACCTCGCTGTCCATGAGAGAGGTGGCGAAGTGTTTGAAGGTCCTCCTGCAATGATTAAAACATTATAGTGAAAGAAAAGTATGTCAAAATTGCTCATATCCAATTTTTCATTTTCTAGTTGACTCTTTGATATAAATCACAAGAATGTATGTTCTTCCTTGAATTTTTCATTAAAAAAATGATTTATTAAATGCTTTTAAGAAATATTAGTTTTTCATCAGAATTTGAACAGAGGAATCCTTTAACTCTTTCCTGACTAAAAGGTCTCATAAGGGTTTGGAGGGAAAACACTAATAACAATGCATGTAGTATACTACAGAAATTTCATAATTCACACTTAAGACCTCCTATCCTATAGTCTTTCGAGGCTGATACTGTCCTACGATCCCTATCACTTCATATCCGCTCGGATTTGAACTCGAAATCTCTTGCACTGAGATGTCTCCTTTGGGCCTCTGTAATGTAATTTTTAATAGTAACAATAAGACAAGCAGTCCGCTCAGTGGTCCATTATTGGTTCAACATCATGGAAAACCCAGTTTTTGACAATCACTCTTGAGGGGCCTATTTAAAATTTTTCAGGGGCCTATTTAAAATTTTTTTCAGGTAATTTGTATTACTAATAACAAATGCATGTAGTATACTACAGAAATTTCATAAAATGTCACACTTTTTAAGACCTCCTATCCTATAGTCTTTCGAGGCGATACTGTCCTACGATCCCTATCACTTCATATCCCGCTCGGATTGAACTCGAAAATCTCTTGCACTGAGATGTCTCCTTTGGGCACCTCTGTAATGTATTTTTGATGAGTAACAATAAGACAAGCAGTCCGCTCAGTGGGTCCATTATTGGTTCAAACATCAATGGAAACAGTTTTTGAACAATCACTCTTGAGGGGCCTATTTAAATTTTTTCAGGTATTTTGTATACTAATAACAATGCATGTAGTATACTACAGAAATTTCATAATTCACACTTAAGACCTCCTATCCTATAGTCCTTCGAGGCTGATACTGTCTACGATTCCCTATCACTTGTCATATCCGCTCGATTTGAACTCGAAATCTCCTTGCACTGAAGATGTCTCTTACTAATAACAATGCATGTAGTATACTACAGAAATTTCATAATTCACACTTAAGACCTCCTATCCTATAGTCTTTCGAGGCTGATACTGTCCTACGATCCCTATCACTTCATATCCGCTCGGATTTGAACTCGAAATCTCTTGCACTGAGATGTCTCCTTTGGGCCTCTGTAATGTAATTTTTAATAGTAACAATAAGACAAGCAGTCCGCTCAGTGGTCCATTATTGGTTCAACATCATGGAAAACCCAGTTTTTGACAATCATTCTTGAGGGGCCTATTTAAAATTTTTCAGGTATTTGTATTTATTCTTTAAAGAGCTTAGTAGTTGTTTTTTAGGAGGACCACAAGACATTCCATATATATATTACCATTATTCTTGTTCTTGATGAAACCATATGTGAGACAAATACTATAAATCTCTGTGGGGAAGAAAACAAAGGGAAAGATGTACAGAAGCATCAGAACTTATTACTGGGGAAAAGAAGACAACACTAGTCGAACAGAGACAAAATTCACATTCAATCTGGCCTAAAAAACTTTCCAGAAATATAATCATCTAAAAGAACAGAGAAAAAAAAGTAGTACTACTGATTTGTGAATAAGCCTGTACATATAGGATTGAAAAATTCTATTATATTTACTAATTCAGTATTTACAAATATATATGTAATTATGTATATATTCATACTCCTTTCCCCTCATCTTTCTCAGTGCTCTTCCCACACTCATCGCAGGGTCCCCATCGACACACCCGTTGGCCCCACCATACCATTTTTCCTTTGTTTTGCAACACTCAGTAGCTAAATTAGATCAGGGAGCTCTCCTATCTGTCTATAGCTATTGGACTTTATCTATGGGAGATAAGATTTGTTAGCAGCAAATCTTCTATTTGTTTTCATGAAAAGAAATCTTAGAATTAACAATGATAATGAAATTCGATAGCTACAGTAAGTAGTTATTATCAGTTTGAAATTGTGCTTCCATGGAAGTTATCTATGAACAATTATAAAGTTCTATTCATACATATAGAATCTACTTCAAAAGGACAATGCTACAAAGACTAGCAAAATTGGGAAGTTACAGAAAGCAACCCATGAGTAAGATTTTTTCACAATTTAAGCCAACTTATGCTACAAATTGTATTTTTTTGATTGGAAAATAAAGTCTAATGATTTTTAAAATGTATATTTGAAATAAAATTAAGTACTTTAAATTTCATTATTAATAAAAAAATATATAACTGAGAACTTCTCAACTCTTTTCCAAAATAAATGGAATTTATCGATTAATAAAACAATTAAAGTCTGATTAAATCTATAAAATGTTTATATTAATTTATTAGATAAGATTATCTACATTCGATGTTACTGTTGTTTGCCTGATGAACGGTCAAAAATAAATTTCTGCGATGCGCTCTTAAACATTAGGATTTAGGAGAGAGAAAGATAGAGGCGGGCTCTAATAAAACAGACCCATCTATCGACTTAAATCTCCAGAACCCCACTTGATTAATAGTAGGACCCATAGAATGTCAAGTAAGTATGCTATGGTCAACAAGAAAACAAACATTTCATTTAATAGCACACACTATACACATTTATCAAAAAAAAGAAAACAAAATTACCACATTTATCAAAAAAGAAATAAAGGATCATTCACAGTTTTATTTTAAAAAAAATAATTAAGCTCTAATTAGATTTCAAATTTCAAATGTGAATGGAACTTCTGCATTACCACTAAACTAAATTTTTTTAAAAAAAAATAAATAATTAATCTAGTGATTCAATGCCTTCTCATCATGCAAAAGGCCAAAATTTTAAATTCTGATAATTCTTATTATCTTTTAAATAATACCAAAGAAAATTAAAATTCACAATTTAACTTTTTACAAAGAAAAATTAAAAATTGATGGAGAGGAATATTACCATGCAGCGCTGTGTACAAGCTCCCATTGCGTATGAAATCAGAGATCAGCAGTTTCTCATCATTAGCATAGTAATAGGCTCTTAACCGTACGATATTGGGATGGTGCAACCTCCCAATTGCCTCTACCTCAGACTCAAACTCCTTAAATCTCCACGTGGCATCTCCCTCATTCAATCTCCTCACTGCAACAACAGTAGGCACTACCGCACCAGAGCCTCTCTCACCCACTACCACCTTATAGACTATCCCATTCCTGCTCTTTCCCACTACGTAAGCTGATGCCCTTAACAAATCCTCCAATTCCAAATTAAAACCCTCGTCTATGATAGCGAATTTACCCTTTTGCCCCTCCTCGATACAGTCAACATTGTTCCCTATATTCTCTTCTTTTCCCATTTTGCCCTTCTCAGCAGAACCCCATTTCTTCCGGAATAGCCACACTGAGATTGAAACGGCACCGATAACCACCGAAACACCAGATATTAAAGGAACAGTCACCGAACCATTTTTCTCCTTCTGTTTGTCATCACTTTCAGCGGCAAAACTCGGGTTAGAGTCTTTAGGGTTTTCAGGATTTTCAAGGGTTTCGCTGCTAGTAGCGTTTATAGCTTCTGGACATGGAGTCCGCAATGGAAACCCACAAAGACCAGGATTTCCTGCAAATGCAGTGGGCCCTTGGCTCACCAGTGATCCCACCAGAGGAACTTTCCCGGTAAGATTATTGTGCCTTAAATCTAAACTGACCATCACCGGAAGTTTTCCGTACGATTCCGGAATCTCGCCGGAAAATGAATTATACGACAAATTTAGAGTTCCGGTGAGGCTTTCGATCTCGACGAGAAATTCAGGGAGAGACCCATTTAAAAAATTAGAAGATAAATCTAAATGGGTTAAAGCTTTTAAGGATTTAATTTCGGCTGGAATAGGACCAGAGAGAGAGTTATGAGACAAATCGAGAGAGCGTAGACTTGTAGCATTGAAAAGATTTGAAGGAATAATTTTAGAAAAATTATTGTGAGAAAGAGTGAGTCGAGTTAACGAGTCAAGAAGACCGAGTTCAGAAGGAAGGTAACCAGTAAAGCTTCTGTTGGGAAGAATTAGAGAGATGACTCGATGATTAATACAAGTGACTCCATGCCAATGGCATGGTGTCAAGTCGGAGTCGGCCCAAGAGGCAAGAACTTGAGTCGGATCAGTTGTTATTGCAGCTTTGAGAGCTAAAAGAGCGAGTCCATCAGTAGTAAGAGAGAAAGAGAATGGAGTAATAAAAAGGAGGAGAAGAAGAAGAAATGGAGTAATGATCTGAAGTGATTTTAGTATCATTTCTTTTGTAGCTCAGTTTGATAAGTAAGGAAGACTCGCTAGTGGCTCATTTGAGAGAAAAAATTAGATAAAGCAAGCAACGAGGAGTTGCAGAGGAACGAGAGCAGTTTCTGGCTATGGACGAAGAAGAAGCAGAAGAGAAGTGAAGAAGAGATTTGAAAGGTTTGAACTTAGTTTGGGATATCGAGGTGGCGATGAAACACCAAACATGGCTGTAGGCTGTAGCTAAGCAAAATTTGAATTCTTGTGACTGCAAATATAATAGGCTCAGTTGGAATTATTTAAAAATTAAATAACTAATTTTTCCTTTGGGACGATAAAATGTTTGCGTCAGTTTTAATTAAAATTGTAATTTTAAAATAATAATAATTTGAAGTTCAAAATTACTTTATTGAAGCATTTCAATTGAAATTTTAAAATGATTTTCTATTTCTTATTATACATCTACATATTTTTAATAATACAAATATATCATAAACTTCATTCTTATGAAAGAAATAAAAAATACAAATATAAATAATTAAAATCTTTTGTTCAGAAATAATTTTGACATAAAAAAATTAATTTTTGAGATAATAACTATTCAATTTGTTCATTTGGATTCAACTTTACCCAAATTTTCCTAGTTCAACCCATTATTGTCTATTTGTCTGACTGTTGTTGAGCAGTTTTTAGATATTAAACGAACTTACTCAGAGAGTAATTTAATTAATGCAGTCAATTTCTCTTCTTTTCCAATTAGTGTCGCTACAACACTTATAGTAAAATAGTTGATTATTCCATCACAAATTTTAGTTTTATAGTAATAGTAAATTTATAATTTTAATTATTTTAGATAAAAAGTTGAATCAATTATCATGAAAGGCAAAATGATTTGATTGTCCAAAAGAGGGAAATAGATCAAATGGAGATGAATGATAGCATGTGTTAGGTGCATGAAGCATGATGACAATTTGATGGTGCTTATAATTTTGAGGGAAAAGTCTTAGGTAGTTAGTAGGAAAATCCAAGTGAAAGAATATAGCACAACCAATATGTAGTACTAGCAATTATGCTTCTCAATTTTGACAAAGGTAAAAAGGAGATATGTATTTCATGTTAGTAATAATAACAATCATTATATGAGAAAGATGTTGGATGATTATTTGGTAATTGGATACTTTGAGGAATTATAATTCTATAATTATTTCATTATATTTTTTATGTGAATTAACTTTCTTTAATCATAGTTAAAAATAATTTTATTTAATGAAATTTAGAGTTATTTATTACATCTTAGATTCATTTTTTTTTAATTTCTAAAATATATATATGAGGATTTAATTTCATAAACCCAATCACAAATCCATTAATACAATTTATGCAATAATATTTATCAAACTTTCTAAAAACTTTGAATTGATAATTTTACAATTAAAATTGGATAATTTATCTATAATACACCTTCTTAATATTTACCAATATATAATTAATTCTATAATATTATGGATTATTTTCATAATAAGAGATTTGAAATTTAAAATTCCTAATCAAAATAAATTGTCTTTAACAAATATCAATAACAAGAGATTATAGAATGAGAATTTTCACTTTAAATATTACTCGATTCTCTCTCAAAATTGAAAAATGGAGGTTCTTAATCTTTTTAATAATTATTATTATTATATAAATTGAATTACTAAAATAGATCTTAATAGAAATTTAAATTATCAACTCTTTAAATATGTACTAGATTCTCTTATTTATCTAGTAACAATAATGGATGTGGGTATCTTAATCTTTTTTTTTTTTCTATGTAATTTTCAGTTTATGATTTCTTTTAAAAAATGTCAAAATATAAATTATTTACATTTGATAATTTAGATTTATATTTTATAATATGATGAAGAAACTTAAAATTTCAAATTCTAAAGTTTGTTATTTTAAAAGATTTTCTGTAAAGAAAGATGTTAAAAATGTTTATTTTTCTGTACTGTATGGGAGTAAACCCTGAAGGTTACAGGTAAGAGAATAAAGTTGTTGCTGTAGTGCTTGATACTTGATAGTTGATAGGGACAGCATTGTAAATGTGGTCTTTACAAGTCAATTTAATTTTTGTGTCAGAATATCATTCAAGCAAAGGACAACATGCAGACATGCTTGTAAGTTTGCTTTTTCAGTTTCCACTAGCAAGGCGCCAAGGCCAGTTTGGTCATTTTCACAGTAATCAGTAAGATTCAAAAAACCCATAGGAAACAGACAACTACAGAAAGTAGAAATTTGTACCCCCCAATCATTTCTGCTCATTTTTTTAAGAGAGTATATATGTTTTTTCATTTACCTTAACCAAGTGGTTAAAAATAAAATAGCTAAAAGATTAATTTTTATTAGAAGATTTAATAATTAATTAATTAATTAATTAATTCAAGTTTAAGATCATAACAAGCCAAAGTATGGGATGGGATGGGACAATGGAACCTTGGGATTCATTGATAATTGTGATTTACCTACCATTAATTAGACATTTCAAATTTGGTGTTTGCCTCTTTGGAATCTTGGAATGTTTGTACTTAAACAATTTAAAATAATGGTGCTCTACAAGTAGATTTGTAGAAATAGACAATATAGGAAGCATCTATAAACAAAATGTATTAGAATTAATAATGAAAAAGTAAAACTACGGGTTGTAGCTCAAACGACAATGCGATCTGGGTCTAAACGCACTTGCAGGTAAGGGTGGCCACGGCTGGTTCCGGTTCCTTAACGGTTGCAAAACCGACGGTTCCGATCGGTTTTCCGACCGATTTTTCTGCAAATCACATAATTTTAAATTTTAAATTTTGAAGACCGGTTTTCAAATTTTAAAAAATTTGTGAAAGTTATTTCTAAAAAAAAATACACCTAAAAAAGTTAAATTTTAAAAAAAATCCACTAAAAAATTAAAAATGCTTCAATTTATTTATTTTTTTAAAGACTTGAACTTAATTTTTTTTTAAAAAAAAAAAAGTCCTTCAACTGAATTTATTTTTTATTTAACAAGTTTGAACATAAATTTAAAAAAAAAAGGGCTTTGAACTTTTTTTTTGGCTTGAACTTTTTTTTTTTTTTTAAAGGGTTTGAACTTATTTTTTTTTAAAAAAAATAATAAGTTCCTTACGTATCCTCTAAGGGTTTAGAGGAATCAAAAAATTAAGAGATTTCACAATAAAATAAAAAAAATAAATAAATCAGACAGTTTCTAACTGCTAGAATCGGCGGTTCCATCTTGTTCCGACCGGTTTGTGGAACCGCCGGTTTACAATTCCAACAATAATGGAACCGGAACCGAACCGAAAATCTCCGGTTCCGGTTCCCGGAACCGGTATATGGCCACCCCTACCTGCAAGGAGAAATATATAATATCAAACAATCTATATTGCAGTGAATTAAAAGATAAATTTATTAGTGCATTGAGCCACAAAATTTACTTACGGTAGCATATAATATCAATACACAAGAAAACAAATATTCATTTGGTGACTTGTACAATTGGCTTTGTGCGGTAAAATTTAAGTTCAAGGTGTCTTAATAAAACTTCAAAGGAATTACTAATCTGATCCCCATGAATTTTTTAATTTTATTTTTTATTTTGATATCTTTCAAGATTTGTACTTGTCTTTCTCTTCTCTTCGGAGAGTCTTGCGAGTTTCCCAGTTTTCCTCTACTCTCCAAACTCTTGTTTTTAAAGATTGAAAGAGTAGAAGGTTTTGTCTCCATTGGCAACTGGACTTCACTACCTATTTTTCACTTCTTTTGTTCAACACTTTTTTTCTTCAGTCTAAAACTAATGATATGTTGTGATTTTTTTGATGATATTTTCAAGCATAGAAATTAAGTGCACATTTTTCAAAATTTAAACTCAATTTCTATCAACTTTAATCATTTTGTTTTTCTTATTCTGATGTTAAAAGCTTTGTCTGTTAATTTAAATTGAGAAAATTTTTACCTTTGTATTTTATCAAAATACATGAATTTGCTCTTACATTTTTAGAATTACATGGTCTCGTCCTTTCTTTTTTTTTTGGCTTATGTTGCACTGTTGAACCATTTTATTAAGTTTTTTTTATTTTTCCATTAAATACATAGACATTAGTTAATTTTAGAAAAATAAAGGAACAAATTAGTTAATAAATTTAAGGATAAATTAGTTAATTTTGATAAAAGATAGAGATAAAATAATTATTTATTAACCCAAAAAGTATAAAAAATTAACGAAAAGATAAAACTGTAGTGGAAATAAAAGTTTGTCTTTTTAGGATTTGCAAGTTAAGTTCAAGATTATTGCAATTGGTTTTCAAAGTTTACTCTTGAACTTTAGTTCAAAATGTATAATTTTCCCCTCTCTATTATAGAATGGACCGGCATTAACTCAATTCCAAAAGTTAATTCAAGAGAAGGATAATTGCCGAGTCTTATATTTTGAATAAAGATTTTAACCTTTTCTTTGCTGCTTTTATATTTTTAGTTTTTTAGAATTTTTTTTATTTTGATAAATTATATTTTGATAAAAGCTTAGAAAATTATAAATTCCCAAATTATAGTTTACTGACCAGTAGTATTTATGTTGCATATTGTGTATAGGTCCGGTGAACTCATCCATGGTAAATAAAAAAACGTTCTTTTTAATTGTTTTTTGTTTTGTAAATTTTTTTTTTAGGTCGCATGCTGTTTTTTCCGTGCCCAAATAAGCATATACTAATTTATTAGAGAGGAAAGGATAAAGGAGAACGTAACATCACCTGTACTAATTTATTAGAATTGGACAAGTGAAGAAATTTCACATAAGTTATGTACTTAATTATTAGAAATTCAACAAAAGAAAAAAAAAAAAAAAAAGGGAAATTTCCCAAACGAGCAAGTTTGAATTGAAGAAATAACATTTTCTAACGAAACATCCTAGTAAGTAATAAGTAAAAACTACAAAGCCTTTCGAAAGAAGATGATGAAGAAATATAGGAGCTTTTTCCTTTTCTTTTCGTTTCTTGTTTCTTTTTTTTTTACATTATTATTTCTCTTAATCTATTCAATTACATTATTATGTGTTCTACTAAAATGATCATAATATTTCTATAGATGGTATATAAATTGTATAGTCTATTTATATAAAACAAATATAACTATGTAATCAAATATTATAGTTATATAAATACTAATATTAAATCAGATGGGAAAGATTATAGAATTTTCTTTAAACTCATTTTTCAGATGATGTTATAAACAGAAGTTGAGTTACTGTCCTTTCTTCCCTTTGAACCCTTTATGTCACTCTAGTAGATTCTAAGTTTGCAAATCCAGCTGAATCTTGCAAGCAGTTATATGATAGTTTTCATAGTTAATTTACTGGTACAAATATTAAGACTCCTTTCAAGCAAAAAAAGGTAACTAGAGTCTTGATTTGGCACCTTTTCCAGGAATTTGTAATGCATCATAATGACCAAAACCATGATAAAGAACTCTAATTGGATTTTCCTTGCCATATTCTTGACCGTACTCAGCAATAGATATAAGGCCACCAGCAGTTTGGTCATACATGTACACAGTGATTGGCATCCTGCATTTAACAGGACCATGTCATCCATTAATATAGTGCCTTCCAATGCAATTTTCTAAGGACTGAAAAAAACTGAAGAGAAAAAGAAGTACATAATTTCTTTTTCCAAAAATACCAAGTTAGCCTCAACAAAATTGAGAGAGACTAGAGTTTTACTTTAGAACATGTGAAGCCATGAACAACTCAGGCTCACCCCCCCATACATGGGGCTTTCTCATATTTGCCACATAGGTGTCAAAATCACCTTCTACAAACCTGTCAGAACAGCAAAATCATTAGAAGAAGTTTATAAGTAAAACCTGAACAAGATCCTCCTTGAATATACTATCATATTCACTCAAAACTAGCACAAGTTCTTCAAATTCCAGGCATAAATGTACGTCGTGACTGAAAATATGACTAGGACCTATAGAAGACTTTCATATGCCATCCCTCGGTTGTTCATTCAAAAAGTGGCATTGGGTAACTTGGGTTTCAGTAAACCAGCATTCATGATTTGTATACCAGGAGCTTCTTTTTTCCTTTTAATTGGTTGTGAAAGATATGCACTAGGTCTGTTTGATAGTGTTAATGCCCAAATAAGCATATAAACAATTGATTTTTTTTTTCCTTTTTAATTGGTTGTGAAAGATATGCAATGGTTCTGTTTGATAGTCTAGTGCCCAAATAAGCACATACAGAATTGTTAGAAAAGCAGTCAAAAAAATGGTAAAAGAGTGCAACTAAATTTCTTACCATTCAGTCTCTTGCCTCCTGTTGATAAACTCATCAGCAACCTGACAAATTTAACAAAGCAACAGAAATCAGAGTCAAGAGGTCTTTGTTTATGGAAACATAATGCAAAGAATTGGAGCCTGCATTGCTTGTTTTACTCTATTGAAGATAACAGTGAACATTGCTTGTTGCATATAGGTTAATCTCGGCCTGTACATGGTTTCCACAAACCAAATTTCAGAATCAATTATAGAAGAGGCATAAGAAAGATACTCTAATCCGCAAGTCATCTGCTAATTCTCTCTGAACACTTTCACTTGGAGCTGGCTTCCCAGCCCGCAAACAAGCCCCATGAGCCACAGAGCGGAACAAACACCTCCCATCTCCTGGTATTCCTGCATTGAAGGAGACTGACATGTCAAAACACAAGTAATGATATTAGGTGTCCAGAATGCATAAACAAATAATATATAAATATAACATTAGGTAACCTGTAAATATTTTGAACAAAATATTGGTACTCACCAGTAATGGAATAGTCAGTGTAGACCTTCTTCCCATGGGAGAATTTAACATATGGTAAGTCAGAATCATCCCCATCCTTTTTCTCAGCAGCTGCTTCAGCATATGTTGGCTCAGAACTTGAATAACAAACCAAGAGGCCAAAAATTAAGCCAGTTGTAAATTCTTGCGACCAAGATATAGATCCCACATTACCCTTAATTTTTGAGAGCGTTCCTCGTTTTGACAGTGAAAGCCTAATAATCAGATTTTGATATGCCAGAGAAATATTGAAGTTTTTCTTCAAAGAGCTTCTAGCATTAAATAAACTTTTCACAGTAAAGGACTGCAAACTGCCACTCTCCTTGGACGAACTAGAACAAAAACAACTTTTATTCGAAGTGTGGAAGGTAGTAACAGATGGTATAGAGGATCTCTTTGAAACAGACAAACGAGCATAATTTTCCCTGGAATTTGCAAGGTTCAAACAGGAACAACATGAAGTTGATTGTCCTCTGGAAACCAAATTCAAAATATTGCTGCCCATATGTTGAACACGCCCTCTCAGGTAGACAACATTTCTTGCGCATGTGCTGATAGGAGAGAAAACTATCATGCTGGCATAGCCTGAGGCAGAAGGCACAATGTGAGACATTTTAAGTAACCAACTCATATAAACAAATATCACTATTAAGAAAGAAACATATAAGGGCATCATACATTAGATATTAGCTTAAGATGGTCATCAAAATGCATAAAAAATTGTGAATAGGTAAATCATAAATCCTTTAATTCCTAAGGAAATATATATTCGAGTGGATATCAATCCATACACACTATACATTAAACATTTGCAGTTTTCCTTTGAGTTCATACAAAGAGAAAACCTTTTCCTCCGGATGGAAATATATAATGAAAAAATATATAAAGCCATGCACTCAAATTTTGGTATTCATATTCCTTTATGTAATAAATCAAAAGATAACTTCTTCATCCCTTCTTCTGGAACTGCTTCAATCATGAGATGGAGATACAACATAATTATGTGACATGCTCCTCCAAGAGTTGTTGGTTTGCGTTGCTTTGTAAAATGGAAGTGCAATGTAAATTCTAGAATAAGATTCTAGAAATTGTTTGACAAACCAAAAATTTTATAATACTTCTGTATTTGACTCACTTGAGTTCAGTTGAAACGAGAGCCAATCTCAAGTATGGTCTCCTAAATTATCAATTTATCCTTCTGCTCTCTTAAACATTTCAAAAAAGAAATTCAGAAGGGATATTTGGGTAACATTCATTTATGCCAACATGTTAAATTTCTACTGACTTTAATTCTAATAACACCTGAATCTGAATGGGTTTTGAGTTGGGCCAGTTCATGTAAAAATTCTTGATAGGGAGCATGCTGCTTTCATTTGTTTAAGGTTTGATGCCAATGCAAAGAATAAGAAGAGCCCAGCTATCCCCAACACTAGAGAAAAAAAAAAAAAAGAAGACAAATCTTAAGGTAGTATTATATACTACCCCAACATTCACCCTTGGCCAATTTCACAGTGAAAGAAATTACAGCTTTAGTTGACATCTTTAGGGTTGCAGTGAAGCATATATAAGGAGGGATAAGAAATCAAATGATAAATTCAAGGTTAGACTTTCCAAACATTAATCTGCAAAACTCACATCATTCTTTTGTCATACATTTTAACACCAATTGCACTTTCTCAGAGTCATCTAATTTTAGACAAATAGTTTTGACATCATAAGCAACCATGTTAGGTATGTGCCCAAGGCCCAAGCAACAATTTCACTATCTTATGGAACTATGTGATTGTAACATTAATAGAATCTATTAGGATTCCTTCACAATTGAAGGCTATGAATCTGACTTCCCTAGCTCTCTTTTTAGATCACACAAGAAATATGACTACCGAGCATCTATTAGTACTCTTATGATCATAAACTGCCCTAAAGTTGACTCAACAGCACAAAAGGTCAAGAGCTAATCAATAAATTTACAGCACTATGAACTTACATTCCAAAATATTGTTTAAAAGCCACAGAAACTTTTAGCATTCAGTAAACTGGAAATTCATTGGTTTTTTACTCAAAACATGCCGCACATACTACAAATATAATGAAGGATCATGATGAACCCATATACATAATCTAAAACAGAGATCCTAGCTAGCTCCAGCAACATCAACATTTTCCATTTGTATCTATAAGATTCTATGTGATCTTCAGGCCTTGTTTGGTAAAGGAATTCCACAAAGTTTTGTGGAATCCATTTGGAATTCCGAGTTTTAATATTTCATATAAAACAAAATGCCCATGCATTCAATTTTATGGAATTCAACATAACTAAATCAAAATTTGCCATATACCAATGAATTCTATAATCTGTACATCAAACTCATCTAAACCAAACATGGGTTTAATGCAGTTGACCAATGCCATTTTAGGGTTCATGAATTTATCACTAGAAACATACACTTCATAAGCTGCATTATAATCAACACCATCAGGGAGCAATTATCTTATATGGAAAGTCTTGACAACAATCAAACTCTCATTTACGTTTCAGTAAGGGACAATAATTAATCAGAATCGACAGCAAAAAGTAGAGAATAATGCCTATTGCCTACAAAGCCTTCATCAATTCCATGAATAAAATCAAAGAGAGCGCCAGGAAATCTCTAATTGCCTTCAACAAATAGATGAAAGTTGCAATTCTTTTGCTTCACTTATAAAGTCTAATCAGAGATTTCAATTTCAATCAAGGTTACCATTCTAAAAAAAAAAAAAAAAAAAAAAAAAAAATCAACTAAAACACAGAAAAGAAAAAAGAGAAAACTGCAAGACAGAGGAAAAGACATATAACTGGGTTTTCATTTTTGAATGATCTACATAGTAACACAATAACCACATTAGCATATAAAAGCTATATAACTACAAAATGTACAAGAAAAGAAAAAGATGATATAGAAATGGAAAGGATAAAGGAAATAACCTCTACAATTGGCAAGAAAACAACTGTGAATAAATTTTGGATTTTGAGAACAGTGTCAAGCAAATTTTAAAACCCAAAGAGAGAAACACGTGAAATCAATCAATAAAGGTTTTATGTAGATTATAGAAGAAGAGAGAAAAGGAGCGTATATAAGCAAAGAATTATACCTGCTTTGGACCCAAAAGAAAATTATAGCAGAGAAGTAACGGATAATGAGAATCAACGTTTTCGATTCCGGTTTAGATTGTTAAATAAGCACTCCATTTTTGGGTTCTTTACCATTTCTGTCGCTGAGCTAAGAGCTCACTGTCCCACCGTTCGACTCTCTGAGTTTATAAAGAAACGCCATCGTCTTGGAACAATTTCTTTTTCACTTTTGAAAAGACCGACCTGTTTTTTCTATAAATATTCAATTTAACCCTCGAATTTTTACTAAATATTCAATTCGATCTAAAATGAATTTAGCCAATTTAGAATATAAACGTGGAGTTTGAGTCTATCATCCATTTATCTCGTTCTAAAAGTTTTAAAAAATAATTAATAAAATCGTAATTTTTTATTATTTTTTAAAATATTTTCAAGTTAAAAAGTTTAATTTATGTTTATTAAATAGAATAATTTAAAGTTTATGAGTTGTTTATTTGAATTAAATTCTAAATATTGAATGCGAATTAACAATTTATTGAGTTGAATGATTAAAAATTTATATTAAAATTAATTATTGAATAATTAAAAAGTAGCATATGATGTCATTTTATAATTTTCAAGAGCAATTTTATCTTTTCACTTAATAAGTTATATGAATAAACAACTTATTAAATCAATAAAATATTACTTGTAACAGTAAGTAACTTCAATTTTTATAAGGTGAAAGTTTAATTTCGGAAAACCAACTTAATGGAAATTTCAAAAACTTTTACGTTTTACCATCAAAAGAAGATTAAATAGATAACTTATTGCTCAAGTTTAAGCAAATAGATTTATTTTATTATTATTTAAATAAATATGTTGAATATTTAATAAACTACTAATAAGACAAAATAAAGAACATCTATATCTAGTATTAATCAATATTAAAGTGGCATTTGTAAACAAAATAGCAAAGGATAAATGTGGTAACTTATGGAACGGGTACTGATGAACTTCAAAATTATAAATTAGACTCGGCTTCAAAAAGGATGTGAGACAATAATAAATAGTACTAAATAAATATATATATTTTTTTAAGTTTGAGCTACGTAATCGTTTCAGTTCATAGAAATTATTCTCTCTCAACATCGGGTTTCTATGAGACATTGAGGAGAGAGAATTGCTGAGCTGGAGATGAGAGGATGAGAGAATTGTTTCTATTAAGTGAAACAATGTGTTTTAGCCAGCCAATTCCTTCGGTTAGCTAACTCAAACATTAAATGTGGGATCCATATTTACTTTTTATTTTGTAATTTTGACCCATTTGAATTTGTATTTCAAATGCAATACAAAGTTAAAACCGAAGTATCCAAGTGATTAAATTTATTTTGAGATATAATAATTGCAAATCGCAAAATTAATAATTTTTCATATGATTTAGCCTCCATTTTTAATATTAAAATATTTTTAATTATAATCCTACAGACCGAAAGACAATTGCTATGCGTTGTTAGCGCACTGTTTTCCTGTGCGTCTACGGTAACTCTCCATATTTTATCTGAGGTCCGTTCGGCAGAAAAAATAGAAAAAGTGATAGTAGTAATAATAATTCTGCTTCCGGATCGACATCTCGTCGGAGTCGCCACTGCAGCTGCTACTACATCAAGTAGCAGTACTATTACTCCTGATTCTGCTCCATTTTTAGCCTTTTTTTTTTTTTTTTTTTGCTCATTTTTAGCCTTTTTTTTTTTTTTTTTCTGTTATCTCTTTCACATTTTATCTTAGTTGCGAAGTTGAAAATGCGTGGAGTTGTTTGTTTGACTGGTTTTCTCTGTTTATGCACCAACTTTGGCTTCGTCGCTGATGCTCTTTTATGAGGAGTTTATCATTTACACCGTTATATTGCTTTTTCTTTTTTTTTTTTTTTTTTTTTCCTAGACAACTTTTCTAGTTTTCGTTCTTTACTATTGGCTTTTAAACCCTAACAAATACTTGTTTGGTTCCTGAAAAAAGGGAAAAAAGGAGTGACGAAAATAGAGATTATGTGTTTAATTTCTGATTTTTGTTTCTCTGTTTGTTAATTGCATTTACTGCTTTTTTGATGGATTTGAAATTTACTCAGGCCGGCTACATATTCGGTTAGTTGTTGATTACCGAATGATAAGCCGAATTCATAGGTTTTCGAGATCTTGTTTTTTCGTACTTATGTTAGCACTGACAATGACAGCTCGGTAATTAGACCATTTTTAGCCTTTTTTTTTTTTTTTTTCTATTATCTCTTTCACATTTTATCTTAGTGCGAAGTTGAAAATGGCGTGGGAGTTGTTGTTCTGGTTTCTCTGTTTATGCACCAACTTTGGCCTTCTCGCTATGCTCTTTTATGAGGTATTATCATTACAACCGTTAATATTCTTTTTCTTTTTTTTTTTTTTTTTCTAGACAACTTTTCTGTTTCGTCTTTACTATTTGCTTTTAAACCCTAACAATACTTGTTTGGTTCCTGAAAAAAAGGGAAAAGTGACGAAAATAGAGATTTCATGTGTTTAATTTCTGATTTTTTGTTTCTCTTGTTTGTTAATTCATTTACTGCTTTTTTATGATGGATTTGAATTACTTCAAGCCGGCTACATATTCGGCTTAGGTTGATTACCGAATGATAAAGCCGAATTCATAAGGTTTCGAATCTTGTTTTCGTTCACTTTGTTAGCACTGACAATGTAGCTGTAAAATTACACAAAATTTGCGTTATTCATTTCCTATCAATTTTTGTTCTAGGACTATTACCATTGTGAATTATTAGCTCTAAGATAACAATGACACTGATACATCATTTAACTACTTGGATGCTGAGGAAGCAGAGGTAAATTTAGGAAAATGTGACTGGATGTAAAACAAATAATTTAAAATAAACATTACAATATATATGGAATGCTGATCTTTTTTTAGCAAATTCTAGAATGGCTTGTGCATTTTGAATTTGTTTTCACAGTCTATCTGTATTTTATGTTCCATGATTGGATTCGCGAGGCTTGAATATGGATCAACCAATTTTTTGTTTCTTGCACTTTGTTGTTTGTTTTTTTAAGTTCAAATTTAATCTCATATTCAGGTGCTTGTTATTCATTCTGAACTTTGACATATGTCACTGTGACATTTGTATATAATGACAATAAGATTGACATCAATTATTAGGTAAAGAAACATATTTGGGCTTTCATCAATTTGTAGGAATCTCCAGGGTTGTGCCTTCACATGTTAGCATTATACAAGAGGCAGAGAGATTATGCTTTTTAGTTTTTTGTGATTAAAATCTGTGAGTAATTTCTTTTTGGGTAGCTTTTGTGCTTAACAGACTTGGAGGCTGACCAGTTGAATCCCTTCGAAGCAACAGCTTGCATCAACAAGTGGATTCTGCCTGAATTCATTTTGCAAGGGGTAATCTGCGTTCTATTGCTGTTGACTGGTCACTGGGTCATATTTCTTATGGAAGCTCCTCTTACTTGCTATCATGTGCTGCTGTAAGTAAAACATATCATACAATGTAAAAGTTTTGGATTAGTATAGTTCTTTAGCCATTCAATAGGAATACTTAGAAGTCAGAATCCAAAATCTTACCATCAACTGTGACATTATTGATGATTCCACATAAAATGTATTCGCAATGGATATGTAACAACTAACTAGTGCATAGCTAGTGTAGTGTTCATCTTCTTAATGTCTATTGATGATTTGATGATATTTTATGTTGAAATGTTATTATATTCTCACTTTTCAATGAGAATAACTGTAGAAAGAAGTAGAAAATGAATTATGCAGGAAATTTCTTTGTAAGTATGAATATGGTTCTGTTTTGTTCAAGCTGTCTAAATTCAATAATCTCTGAAATATAGCTGTTCCATTTAAACAATTCAGGTTTATGAAACGAGAGCATCTTATTGACATCACTGAAGTTTTCAGAAATCTTAATTCTGAGAAGAAGTATAGGTTCATAAAGCTCGGTATCTACTTGTTTTTCTTCGCCTTGTTCATGTTCAGGTTTGTTCAACTCTCCGAACATAGTTATTCTGGTTTCTTGTTTAAGACTTTTACTTCATTTATATTTCAATCTTTTAAGTCTTGAGTTCATTCACTTATTCTAATCAAGGGTTTTGAAACTATTTGGATATAGAATTATTGCAGGCAGCTTATCAATTTACAGCTCTGGAGCATTAGACTATCGTTCATCTTATCTTGTATTCTAAATAGTTAATGCTAATCTCCCCTTGATTTGAAATAGATAAGCGTTAGATCCTGTGAAAATTTTAAAAATTTATGCCTTTTTTTTTTTTTTTCCAGATTCGTCCAAGAAAAAAAAATTTGCTCATTTAAAGTGCTTGAGCAGTCTTTTTATTTCCAATGATCTCTGCATGTAGGTTTGTATAGGTTGCTAGTAGCATTCTGATCATTTTATTAAATTTGATCATTATTTCTCTTGTACATGTATAATGACTCAGGCTTAGCTACATGATCATTGTCTTTGGTTGGATTTTAACTTTAAAAAAGGTAAAATCTACTGAAATCTACATATGAATTTTGTAATGGGCACTGCTAACATGGCAGAAAAAGGAGCTAATGGTTAGTCCAATAGCATCTATCAGTTTGTCTTCTGTTGCAGATATTGGCCTAAGGTTAGACCTATATAATGAAAGAAAGAATTTGCGCATCATACAGAAGACAAGCTCCACCCTTCATTCAAAAAGAACAGTAACCCTTAGTAATTTTAGGCTATCTTCTTTTATCTGATTCTCGAATAAATCCTTCCTGTTTTCCCTAACGTCATGAAAAAGATAAAGATTACATAGGAATTATTGAAGAAAATTCTGCGAGGGAATGTATCAAAGATAAAGCTCTGGGATGAGTATTGTTTTGAAGAGAGTATGAGTTGTGGGTTCTATTTTTAATCAACCATGATTAATGATGATGGTGTTCCCTATAGATCTAGCAAGCCCTGGACATTTTAAGTGTCAGGGAGATTTTGGAGTCTTTTAGAATCTCTAAGAATGACATGAGCATTCAAATACTTGTAGTCCAAGAATCATTTTGCTTGTGGATAGTTGTTTATTTTTCATGTGCTGGTTGGAAGGAGGGGTTCCTGTTTCTTCCTCTTTTTGTATTGATGAGATCTCGGAGAGTGATTCTGTACCTACCTGGTCCAGAGTCCATATTGAAATTATGCTGTTTTTCTAGGTTGCATTTGAGGTTTGCATAAGAATGTAATTTCTCATTTTAGGTTTGAAATTCTTAATAGAATATATATTTGTCTATGTATAATATAAAGCAAGATTTTGTTTTTTTTTGTGGGTAGAAAAAAAGGGGTGTTTATTATTTTGTTTCCTCTTATTTAAAGATGGTATTGATCTGCCTCCTGGAGAAGGACCTCACCTGCCATCTGTTCTCTCTCTCCAGCTCCTGATAATAATATCCTAACTTGCAGGATTACATTGATCGCTTTCTTGTTTATAAGAAATGAAGACGACGAATGGTGACTTTCGTGTGTTTTGGCACCATGCTGCAGGAGTGTGATAGCTGCATGTAATTGGGTTTTAAATCCCTGATCCGTTTGAAAGGAAGTGAATTTTAGTATACAGAATTGGGTACTTTCAGACTTCCATTGTAGGATGAATTTCATCATACTGTTTTGTCACGGGGCTAGTTTTGACATATTAACTGTTCCACTGATTCGTAGGGAAGAGATTGCTTATAGGCTGAGATTTATAATTAGGTAGTTAAAAGAAAGATTGACATCATAGAAAGAACATGTATCAGCTTTAATGGAAATACATTTCTTTGGTTAGAGTACTACTTTGCTACTATGCGAAATATAGATTGCTAATTGAGCTATATTTTCTGTTTGCTTAGCTCATCTCACTGAGATTGTGTGTTGCCTCTGCTCTCCCTGGCAGCGAGGGTCTGGTTCAGAAAACATTTAATTTGAATATTTGAACTGCTTGTGTCATATGTTTTACCTATTTTTGTCTGAGTACCGTGTTGAAATTTAATGCCTAGGGCGTAAGCCGAATGAAAGTAGTGCAAACAGGCAACCTAATGTTTCTGCAAGGAATAGGTTGAAGAAAATTGTGTTTCAAACACTACGATCCAGGTTAATGATATTGGTAATGTTTATGATTTTTCTTTTTTCTATTATTTTTTTTAGAACATCATATCCCGTTTGTTTGTTCTCCAATTTATTGGTATAATCCTTTATGTTATTCTTGCATGCCCATTTTCAAATATAGCTATTAGCTATTAGTAGTACCTCAAAACCAGGGGGTGTATGTATTCTTCTGCAAACTCATTTACTGGATAAGCTCTAAGTCGAAATAGACTTTGTTTCTCTACTTGGGATCTTCATTACTCAGATTTCTTGATGGGCTTAGTTGGGCCTACCTGTAAGTCAACTAAAAAGTTGGTAAAAAAAAATTCTGTGATAAAGTGATTGATAATCTTATACTGTAAAAAGTTGGGCTGGAAAACTACCAGGTCCATTGAAAGAAAAAGAAAGTGGGCCCGTTTTGTCTTCACCAGTGTCCTATGCTCAACAGGTTGGCAGACCCGACATACTGTAGGCAGCTTGACAACAGCTTGCCTTTCTTTGTACAATCAAAAAAAATTCCAATAATGGTCGATTGGGCCCATATGCAAACATTATCTAGGCCCATGGGGAGCCCACATATTACCCTTCTTTCTCAGTTGCAGAGGGCCCAACTCCTGATGTGAAATATTTAACCACTGGATTGATAGAGGTGTGTTGACCCTACGCCAATTAACCAATCGACTGTGCGGCAATGTTGGGTCGTTTTCGGGCCCTGAGACTTGACCGGAGTTTGTCTTCCGCATTTCATCTTGTGGGGCCCAAACACCGTCAGAGGTCTGGTTTTGGCTATAACAAGTGGGGTCACTATCAATGTAGGGCCAGGGAAATGGACTGACCGTTGGATGTAGCCACAGAAAATTAATCTTTAAGGAAAAGTGAAGAAAGTGATAAGAAGGGAAGGGATTGAATTAGAGAGAAGAGAGCCCCACTTGTTACAGGTAGTGTCTTTTGCTGTTGTTAAGGGTTGCCTACTCAGTCCTCAGAGTCTGAGACTGCAATGTTTATGGTATGGGGCTTTCTCTTCCCAATCGTGGTATGCTGTCCAGGAGCAAGAAAATCATAGCTCCTTTCGCATCAAAAGACAGGAAATTGCTATATCTATGCTTAGAGCCTAGAAGCTTCTTTCATGAGGGAGACTTGGTTGTGAAAATAGAAAATATCTATCTCCTATAGGAACAAGTGGCTTCCCTTAACAACTTTGTTATTTGTCAAAGGAAAAATTATTATTTTATTTTTATATTTTTGTCAAAATGAATTACTTTTCCATTATATTTTATATAGTTTTATTACAACAGTTATAATAATCACACATTAAATTAATTTTTTACATATAAATAAAATTACCAAAATATTATTATTATTGCTAATATAGGGATGTGTGAGATATTATCAACATATATAACTTTAGAAAACAATAGGTTCAACATAAAATATAGGGTGCTATAAATGCTTTCGTGTGAAATAGAATAGTGATTCAATGATTTAGCTTATGCTTGGAAAGAAAAACTATTATTAAAGAAACTAGTAATGAAAAATTTCCATTGTTTGAAAATAGGAAAGAAAATAAAGAGGGATAAAAACAAATTTCAAAATTTTTTCTCTAAATTAGAAGGATAATAGAAAAAGCTAAAACAAAGTACTTCTATATCCAAACACAAGAAGGAAAATAACCTCTTTTTTTTTTTTTTTTTAATTTTCTCTTTTCTCTTTTTCTCTAAGTATTAGATATTGAGATTAATATGAAAGAGTTTTTTGGAAAACACTATTTTGAATGTTAGAAAAAATAATAATTTTCAAATCTTTTATTGTGAAATTTACATTTGAAAATGAATATCAACTGACTTTTAATTTATATTTTTAATATAGTATTTTTTTTTTCTTTGGTAAAACTGAAGTATAGGAATCAAAATACTTATTTCATAATATAAGAGACCAAGCAATTCAAATTTTAACTTTCTTTTTTTTTTTTAGAATGGATAGTTTATTATATTTGATAATTATCTCATCATTATTTAGTCATAATAGTTAGTATATCTCTCGATTTATAATTTAATAGTCTATTATCCATCTGATAATACAAGAGAGAGATAGAATTTCAATTTAATTCTAAATAACAGAAAAATAGAAAATGAGATTACGTAGTAAGGATGGTAATGAGTAAGATATCCGTTTAAAATTTAATATTCAAACCTAGATCCAATTACAAATTCGGTACTCAACTCCGTTCCGAATTATTTTAGAAATTCACTTTTATCATCCGAGTGTGTTACGAACCCAATTATAATTACATGTTTAAATACCCAAATCTATTTAAATACATGTTTAACATTAAAAATATATATTTTTTATTTTGTAGAGTAAAAAATAAGTAAAAATTATATAAACTTATATTTTGACTTAATAAAAATATAATATCTATATTAGATGTAATTATAGTTTTAATTATAATATAGGTGTATATATATAATTTTCTTTTAAGAATAATAATTATTTTAAATATTTTTAAAATATTAATTAAATAGATGATGGGTAGCGGATTTCCGTTGTTGAATCGAATTCAATCAAAACTTGATGTGAATAATAAAAGTACAATCCAAACTCATTTCCAACTCATTTATTCAATATTCAAACTCATTAAAATCGTTGAACCGGATTAGATACCATTGGAATCGGGTAAAATTATCATTCCCGCCACGTAGTGCCATAGTTTTCTTCCAAAAATTGAAAGCTAGACCGTATAACTATCATGTCAATAAATGAATGAGGTGGTCTCCAACTAAGATGTCTTCGACCTTAAATGATGTCCTAATCATTATTCGTAGGGAAAAACCCTATCCAAAGATTATTTATCACACACACCTATGTTGCTAAATTAGAAGAGACATAATCTTTTATTGATATTAAACAGGTGAAATGCATGAATTCATCTATCAATTTTGTAATTTTCATTTGTCACACTTTAAATTTCGTAAATGATCTATTATATATTTGAACTTGAATTTTTTTTTTATAACATTATATACATTTTCACGAGAAAAACAATGATGTGTAGCTATCTGGTAACATAACTTTTAAAACAATAAATTTTACATTTTTTCAATTATTTAGTAATGTTTAATTGATTTAATTTTATAAATTAAAATATTTAATACGTATAATTATATAATTGAAGCATTTGATAGATCAAATTAAAAATTGAGAATGTCATAAAATTAAATTAATAAATTGAGAGGTAAATTTATATATTTAGACCTACTACATCTCAATCGTTGAAAGTGAATTGTCTTAATTTTAAGCTCATTTTGTATTCATTCAAAATTATACTCAAATTGAAGAGTTTAGAATAAACAATGATTTACTTCTTATATAATCAAATCCTTTTTGTGGGAAAGTAAGTATGGAATGTTAAATTACCATGTTTAGGTGAAAATAAAAAATTTTCAGAAAAATAAGACAATTAAGGGTATTAATATTATTTTTTTTTTCATATAGAATTTAATTTTTCCACTTTTTGAGATGAGAAATTAATTTCTTGTGTAGATAGAAAAGTAGAAATAAAGCCTAATTATTCGAAAATTAAACTTTATTGAAATACAGAACTCTAAACCATATAAATATTAGGATTATAATTTTTTCAAATTACATTTTTTGCAAGATTTCGATAATTAAAAATCTTGTTAAGAGAAAATAATACACACAATATCAATCATTATTGCAACAATATTAGTACTATTGGCGTTATCATCACCACCGGGGCGCAATAATCACGGGACCAACCCTAATAATCATATATTGAATTTACAACACAAAAATGACACTGAAAGCAGGCATAGTTTTTCTGCTAGTACGTGAAGCAGAAGCAGCTTTGAGCTCCACAAAACAATGGTGGGTAGCTTCCACTTTCAAACATCCCCTTCACCAATTTGTTTGGGTCTAAAATAGATTTTCATTGGTCAAATTTTGATGCACCATAACCATTTCCTAGCACATAATAACCATAGCTTTAAAAGATCAAAAGAGGGCAGCTAACGCCAACCCTATTGCCCATTGCTTGCTTACAAATATGCCTTTTGGAATGTGTTGTTATTGTTCACTTGACTTCCATAGCCAACTTGAAGAGGTGAGAAAAATGTCCTCCTTTGTGGGCCCTAATAAACCATGACATGGACACTTGCCCCTTAACAGGCTTTATGTCAATTTTCAAGTGTCCTAATCCCCAAACTCACCCCCCCCCCCCCCCCCCCCCCAAGTGAATTGTCTTAATTTTAAGCTCATTTGTGGTTCTTCTCAAAAAATTATACTCAAATTGAAAGGTTTAGAATAAACAATGATTT